TGAAAGTGAATCTATATTTTAAAACATGCGCAGATATTTATTTAAATCGCTTGAGCCCTGATTTGGTTTTAGAGGTTAATGCAGAGTTTTTTTCTTATTTTATATCTGAATATCAATAGGTTTGATAACGTACTAAAATGTTATAGAATCTATCAATTGATATATTGTATATGAAGAAAATAGAAAAACGGAGGATACAACATAATAACACTTTAGGATATTTAATTTAAAATACTACAATTTTAAATTCAAATATGTGGGTAAGTACAAAGGAGCTTTTGCTAACATAACATTAATCAATGAAACACAAGAAATTGTTTGTCAAACAGATTTTGATTGAGGATTATTGTCAAAAAAATATTTGAACACGTAGTATACACAATAAAATCCTTTGACTAAGCAGATTTGACTTTGTTCAATTATGTGAAAAAACCCACACTAATTTTATATGTTTATTTTAATATTAACACATGCATAACGAAGAAGCACATGCCAAAGGATAAAAAATTATAATTCCCAGAAATAAATCAGCGAGCTCGTGGATTCAATAGAAATCACTATTTAAATCCAGACTTTCATGAACTATGAAGAAAAGAACAGTATTTCGCACGGACAACTTCGTGGGTAGCTCCTCCCAGTATTAGAGAACCTGGGAACGGACCAATCCAGATCCCGAGACCTCAAGTGAAGTTTCTTTTTCATTTGCGGACTTGGGGCTCGGGGACAAGCTTAGCAGGTGCGTGGAGCGGTGGTGTCGGTGGTTTTCCACGAGGGTTCGGCAAATCTCTCCCTTCCTTCCAGAGTTCATGCGGCCACCATCTCCACCATCACTCATGTCTGCACGAGCGCAGCTTCTTGCTCTCAACCCCCGGGTTTCAATGCTTGCGGCACCACCCACAACTTACGGCGCTGGTTTTCGTCTCATGTCATTATAGAATGAACTCTTAGCGGCGAAGCGATTTGAGCAAGGAGATGGGCTCACGGGTTGTGAGTTTAATCACCTGATTAACCTCAGCAAAGATGCAGTCCCACCGTTGAATCCCGTTCGGCTCGATACATTCGCTAGTTCTCATGGTTGAGGTTGGCGTACTTTCCACGTAGGAATCCTTCTCGCTTATTCACCTCGCAACGGCAAACTAAGATAAATAATTCCGCTGGTCTCTCTCACACGAACCATCTCACAGCGCCTTTCTCTGCAGCTCAGAGAGAGCTAGAATTGCCTGAATGTGCGGTCGAGTCTAGGAGTGCTACAGTTTCTAGCATTTGCCTCGCTAGTGCCGTTGCGGGGTGAGTTGACCAACGACGACGATTGTAACCCTGTTTACCATTCAGGTTGAGGTCACGATTGGATCCAGACATGCCAATTTGTAACACTCGATCTACATGGTTGGCTGGGGCGTCAGATTTCAGGGAATGTGTTATAGTAAGGACCAGAAAACGCCGACTTCCCGACGTCGGAAACGGGCAGGGATGATGCTGAATCCGGATGCCGAGGACGCGGTTGCAGTAACATCACTGTGCGGTGATTGCACACAATGAGCGAGTGAGTGAGTGAGTGAGAGTGAGTGAGTGTATTACTGTGATCCATGCTTTTTCCTTCACTTGTACTCTATTGCTACTCTCTGCCAGCTATTCTCCACCTTTTTAGTTGTTTTCTAATTCTTTCCTTTAATGGTTTGGATCTTTGTTGTCCTTTCCTCTGAGATGTAGTTTTTATTTTTATTTTTAATAATGTTGATGATTCAGAAATGGACGACGTGTTGCTTGGCCGTTTCCACAACGGAAAAAAACTATTAAATATATTATGAGGATTTATTAAAGATTTAGCTTTCTTCTCTCTTAGGGAGGAGTTGTATTCTTCTATTATCTCACATGTGTCATGTTCAAACTTTCATGTAAGTTTTTTTTTTTTTTTTTTTTTGTTTGTTTGTTTTCCATAAGTATTGAAAGAATGCATTACAAATTGAAGCATTTGGGCATAAAAGACTAAAAAAGCAAACAAATCTGAATATAAAATAGTACTACCAACTATTAAAGGATCTTCCTAGCTTATAGAAAGGTCATGAAGGACTAGGTTTTCAAAACTAAAAACAAAATTGACAATTAAAACGTATATATATATATATATATATATATTCATTGAAAAATAATTTTCATGAATTAGAGACAAATTTGAGAGCCAAATAAAAATCAAATGTAGAACTATGTTATATTTGTAATTGGAGTTCAACAAGTTTTTAAGGAGGAAGTTGAATTTGCAAAGCCAAAATTGAAGTTATATGTTAAAGTCGTAGCTTTTGTCAAAAAGAATTCAAAGAAACAAACTTGGAGTCATGCCAAATCATAACATTATTCTACACATGAAATAAGTGCTACACTTGAAACACTTTAACAAAAATACAAAAGTAAAACATAGATAGATTGCCTCAATAGAAGGGACATCTATGCAATCAACCAGGTAAATGTCAACACTGAATATAAACAAAAAAATTTAAGATATATTAATAAAAATAAAACTAAATGAGTCGATTGAATGGTTTCCAAATCTGTAGAACCAAATGAAGTCAAAGCCAACTTGAATCTTGAAATGAAATCATTGAGTGACAAAATTAAAATAAAGTATAATAAAATCACGAGTGTGTAGACTAGCAAAGAAGCTGCAATCATAAGCTGAGGCAATCTTGTTGTTGTTAGAGTTTCTATGAATGTCATTGAAAGGTGTGAATAGTTTTATGTTTGTTTGATTGTTTCATTCTATTTATTATATACTTATTCATGTTTTAGAATGGGTACAAAATAGATTTGTGGGTGTTGTGATTGGCAATTTTGGATCTTTGCTGCACAAGGTTTTCAAACAAGTATAACTGTGATATTCTGTAGGAAGATGGTTGACTGGGTTTAACATTATCTATTTGCAATCTCAGAGTGGTAAAGATGATTCTTTTAAACTATGTAGAAGTAATGGAAAAAGAAAGAAGTTTAGAAGTAGAAACTCCAGTGTATTGCTAAGTAGTTGTAGAAAATTGCCAATTGGTGGGAGCGTTCTTTTGTCCGAAGTGCAAATGTGACGGCAAATCGTCCTTTTAAGTGAAAAACACTGTAGCAAGTAATAGAATATATCAATTCCTTGTAAGAACAAATCTATAAAATACGGAGTTGATTAACCATGTATTTTTGGGTTGTTATAAAAAACATTACAATACAGTAAGGTGAACCAATTCAATACAACATTGAATTTACAATAAAAATATGTGCCAAAGTGGGATTTTTTTTTGTATTTCTCTATGAATGTATATAAAAAAGTTACATTTGAAATCTTGTAATCATTATAGATAGATTTTTTTTGTAGGGCTTTGTGTTGAAATTTTTTAGAATTGAGTTTTAGTAGTTTAATTATACATATATATATATATATATATATATTCTTTTTTCTAATAAAACAATACTAATGTTGGTTTTTTCAAAATAATTATAATAAATACAAGTTAATTTATACAAATAATGATAATAGGAATAATAATTATTGTTATATGTTATTTATTGTATCAGATTTATCAGCTAAAAGATTATAAAAATATATATATATATATATATATATATATATTTACATTGATAATACAAAATAACACACTAATCACAATTGTTTAAATTTTATTGTACTACAGAATAGATAAGAAATTAGAAAAAAAGAACAATGCCAATTGAAAACATAAAAGAGAGAAATCAAAGTAAATAGAGAGCATTTTTTATTTTTTAAAATTTAGATGTATTTAGTTTCCTTAGACATTTTAATGTCATCAAAATGTTTTTTTAAAATTCACATATTCACATTATTTTTTTGATAATTTTATTAGGTATCATCATAACCAAACAGCCATAAACATCTAAAATCAATTTTACAAACAATCTCAAAACACTCAATTACATTATAAATGTACATGAAAAAAAATATAAAGCTTATTTTGTATCACATCCTATTATTTATTCCCTTGGATTGGCACGTAAATAAATGTGAATGTAAACATGAAACTTTTATATAAATATCATTTGACGGCCACTTTTTTCATTGTTTTGTAGCGTAATTCGTTTTTAAATATGAAAGTGAATGATTTTGTGCTCCGAATCACATTAAGTACGTGATCTACATGTCTAGCCTCAAACTGAATCTCGTGCCTACCCACCCACCGTGGGGTGGACCCTACAACCGCTGCATTGATGCAACAACTGTCATGACATGTCCAATCGTTGCGCTCTCCCTCGCATAACATCCAATCAACTGTAGACACGTTCCAATTAGCACGTGTACACCGAACTGAAAGACGCGTTTATAGGAGAAGTTCACCCATAACCGCTCCCAACGGAAGATGAAAATAAGTGTTTTGCGAGACCCTTCTCGAGATCCTCAAAGTGCTTATCATTGTAACCCTTACATACCTGGTTTAATACCCGGATTAATATACCCGACTTCCCTGATGATGTTTGTGTGAAGGAGCTTCCCGGGTATGATCACTGTCGTCGTAAATACAGGGAGTGAATGAAGGTTAAAAAGAAAAAGTAATTTGGGCGGGCTTTTGAAAGAGGAGCTCCACCTGCATCTCCCGGATTAGAAAGTTTGAAAAATCTGCGTTCACGGAAGGAAAGAAACACAAATTCGCGGTGTGTGGCTTCGTTGAATTAGATTAGAAAGTTGTGTTCGGTCGAGATTTACAGGGAACAATGGCAACGGAGTCGGATCGCGGGGTGTGAATCGGAGATGAAATGGGGGAATGTGACTATTTCTTGCCGGGCCTCGCCATCGCCGCCGTACCCCTCTCTCCGCGCGGGGAGATGCCAAAGTGCCGGTTCCAAACCGAAAGGAGATTTCCCCTTCGATTCCGAAGTTTATCCCCGCCTTGCATATTTTGTGGGCCCTTTTGATTGAGGAAGGACCAGGACAACCGATCTTCGAATGTGAGGACCAAATGAAGGCTGGGTCCAGGCATCTATGTTTAGCAACCATGCAGTTGTGAGAACTTGTCGCGCTGTGGTGGTGAAATATTGTGAAGGCACTCCAGCTTAGTAACTTTCTATCGCAAGTGTCTCGTGGAGCGTACCATCTGTCGCTACCGTTCCCCATGTTTATTTTTTGTGTGAAATGCAGCGAACCTTGTATACTTCATTCTGAGGTCGTTTGGTAAATTTTATGGGTTTACATGAGAAGGGATCCAGAGTGTGTCAGAAAGCTTTATTCGGAAGTTGTAGGGTGGTGATCGATGCAGGTAGATGGCAGGCCTAATCATTGCGGGTTAGTTTCTGAAACAAAATGACACTTGAATGTTTTTCCCCTCCCCCTACCCCATAGAATGTGTTTTTATGTGTTTTAGGTTTGAGTGATGACAGGGCAGTGATGATAACAGAAGCCTAGAAATGATGATGGTTTGTGTGGGTCGTGCGTCAGATTTGTAACTCATGTCAGGGATGTAAGTGCTACCGGGAACGGCGCCACTATTCCAGTTCCGTCCGCGGTTACGACGTCGTAATTGGAGGGGGAAACCGGATGTTTGTATCCATGTCTCGACCTCCTTGACTCTTCCTTTCGGATCAAATGTCTGCGAGTCTTAAGTGTTTTCTTGGTCGGGTCTTCACTGCACGCTAAGGCGTGAACTTACTCTTGATCATTTCGGGGTCTTGCATGTATACCTGAGATGGGTCTTAAGGGGTGAAAGTGTTGGTTGTGGGCTCGGCGGTGCGATATTGCCCTGTTCTGCCGACGAGCGCGTCTGAGCTGCGAAAGAGCATAGTCTGGGTTTTCAATACATCACGCCTTCTTCGTTGACTTCTGGTTGCGACGAAGGTGTGGATCGGTGTCTGTGCCGGAACTGGCTATTATTGATTTCTTGCGTGTTGGTCTGTCGGCCGTTCTAGTCTACAGATGTGTTCGGTTTGAATCCTTCTCTTCTGGGTTGGCGAGTTGCAGGTCGGATTAGTAGCTGTGCAGACCGGTTCGTTACGCTGTGGTAGCTTTCCTTCTCGGAATTGGGAGTTCATGCTAATTATTGTTAAGTTTTGGGATTGGAAGGCACAATTGCTGTGGATGTAGAGGTTGGTGGAGTTAGCGAAGTGAGGCGCAGTGCATTTTGGATTGCTGCTTGGCAGCGTCACTTGCACACCTATATCGCGCTACACACATATTTTGATACGGTAAGGTTTCCGACAGCCTTTTGTTGCTTAAGAGTAAGCTTTGGGCGACACAACTGCGCACAATGTTACGCAGATGCGCACCGCCTTCCATGGTCGCAGCGATTTTTCTCAAAATCTAGATCGCAGGATTTTAGGCGTGATTTTAGGATCGATGGCACTTAACCCTTGAAGTAAATCTGGCAGTATTCGTGTACATGTGATGCTTAGTGCCCAGTCTGCCATGCTATCTATGTGATGATATATTCCTTTCTTTGACCTAGAATTGAAGTGGCTAAGCCCTGGCAAGCGTTAAATCAGTTCAATACGTCACTTGTTATATCACGTCCTTGGCTCATTGTTCCTCTTTGTTATGTTTCCAGGTTTGAAATATTGCTGCTCCTGAGAGTGGTGGATACCTCGTCATTTTGAACGCCCATCCTCAGGCAATGACAGTGAATAGGACCATGGATGCAGACGATGTCCTTCTAAGTATAAATTCTCTTGAATCTGCATCAGATCTGGATAAGAGTGGTGTGACAGATTCTCCGGATGGGGAGATCAAACGTGTGATATGTCAGAAACAGAGAGAGCCTGAGGCAGAGATCGAGAATCCCAAGACGAGGTTGAGGATTGTATCGCGGAACTGGGAGGCTTCCAAGGGAGATGCCATTATGAATCCAGAGCTCAGTAGCGGAGCTGAGAAATTAGCAGATGGAGATGATCAAAAAATCAAGCCTGGCCTTTCCAGTCCGCTTCCTAGTCCGCAGACTCGACCTAGAGCTGCTTTTGTTGGTCCGATGTCGCCTCGGTCATCACCTGGTGAGCACGCAGATTTGGTCGAAAAGAACAGATATCTTGAGTTGGCTCTGAAGAAGAGTATGCTTGAGAACGAAGCTTTGAAGCGTGAGTTTGAAGAGGAGAAGAACATGCTCATTGAGAGCCTTGATCGTCTCGAGCTCGCCAACGAGCAGCTGCTGGCAGGCGGTGAGAACTCTGGTATGGAGCAGCTCCAGATGGAGCTTACCAGGTTGCAGAGGCACAATACTTTGCTTTCTCAAAGGGAACGGGAGCTTCAGTTTCAGCTCAGCACCAAGGATATGCTTCAGAAAGAAGTTCAGCATTTGCAAGAGTTGAATGAGCAATTGTTGGAGTCGAGGTCTGGAGATGGGGACTCTGAATCCGGAAACAAGTTGCTTGAGAGGATTATGACTCTGGAGACAGAGCTTGCTGATACAATAGAGGTGAACAATTTGTACAAATCACAGCTCCACGATGCTTTTGCTGAACCTAAGATAGCTCCAGGCGCACCTGCTGCTGGTGGAGACGAGGAGGTTGCGAAGCTACGTGCTCAAGTGAAGACATTAGAGGGAGAATTGCAAGATCTTCGCGATCGGTATTTCGTCATGAGCATTCGTCTCGCTGAGAGAGAAGCCCAACATGAAGAAGTTATGATGAAGTTCCGAAGACTTCAAAGTCCTATCAAACATTTTACCGGTTCATTTAAATGGTAAACACTTCTTGCTGCACAAATTCAACTCATGTGAATTGTAACAGAATTTAGAATACATACTATAAACTTGAGTTCTATCCTTATTCTTTTGATTTTGCGGCTTCTCCTGGACTCTAGTCTTAATTTGACTACCTTTGAGGTGCTTCTTTGTGTGAAGCCTGTTGGTATGTTTTTCTTGATGCCGCAGGGAAGCTTAGATAGGGCAAATTACTTAGAGAGATTCCTTCGAAGAGGAGCTTTAGAACCCATTTCTGTAAGTAGTTATATTCTATTGAAGAATATGTGGTCATTCCACTAAACATGACCAGTTCGTTGGTATGCAACTTGGGACGTGTGTGGAATTTGTTTTACTTCTTGTCATCTGCACACGCAGTTTCTAGCCGTCACGACCATGTGCTTGATGATTGCATACAAGAGCTTCAAATATTCCGTACTGGTTCACCTTATTCGGACATTTGAATCCCTTGGAAGATCATTTCTCGAACAATAGATAGTGAACCGTCTGTTTTATAATGGTAGATGTCGAAATGACGTTTGCTGATTGTTGAGACAAAATTTTGTACGATTCCATCATCAATCTTTTAAAATTGGTCATTGTTTGTCACAATTTTCTGTTCGTAACGTTATCTTGGAATTCCCTCCTGTGTTTGTGCCACTAGCACCTGAATAAAAAGCAGACGGGTGTAAGCGTGTAGAGATAGTTGTTATAACCCACTGTTCTCATACCTCTTGGTAACTTGTCTTAGCAGCCTCAATCTCCAATTTCACGCTTTTTGGTTTATCGCGAAAGTCTACGGTGCATGCAAGAATGTTCTTTATGCGTTCGTGTATGTTCTGAGTTCGCTGGTCAAACTTGCTTTACGTAGATAAAATCTCCGCAATCTGTATGACGACTGAATGAATGAGTATTCCTTTTCTGCTGTTATCACACGCATATTATTTATGTATACTCCCTGCTTTCTTGCGGCACCCATGGTTTCTGATGTGTTAGCATGTGATTGTGACAGATTTCGTCCAAAAGAATATATACAACCGGTTCGATGAGTATGACAACTAATGGACGATTGTGAACAAGGTTTTGGTGTTCGAAATCGAAAAGCACCGGTCAGACTATTATGTATAGTTCAAATGGACCCAGTAAATGTGATTCATCTCTTGTGAGTGGCTGTTTGTCTTCACAATACCCTAGATTACATTTTTCTCATTATTAGCTGCACAGACAGCTCTGTTGGTTATTACCAAGATTTTATTCCATTTAGCAATTAGTCGTGCCTTTCAGTGTAGCTTTCATGTGGGTAGAGTAAACATCCAGTTATAGTTTGGCATCGTAGATGTCCTGCCCAACAGCAACCATAGAATCTGTCTTGTACATTTAGATCTATGTAGGAAGAAAGGGCTCGTAGATTATTGAGCGACACCATCTTGTATCTGTTTATTATCTTTGCAATCCACAGTAATTAGCAACGGAACATGATCACAAGTAAGGCGCACATGCTATTGTATTTGGTTAGTTGCTTTTTGGTGGAGTGCTACTCCTTCACGAGCTCTTGGCTACGTCTTGAGCTCATCCTAATCGTTCTGCACCCGTTAGAATAGTTTTGGTATTTATGCCCTTCGCGTTGAGATTAAAGTTCTCAGGCTGAAGTGAGTCTGGGTACTGTAAGGCTGGTACGAGGTTGTCAATCACATGAATCGTGTGAACTAAGCTTACCCAACTTCTTGCATGCAGTCAATTTCGACGAAGTAATTGTGACAACGATGCAGTGCAGCCCTCGTACAGTTCCATGCTAGGCGCTTGAAGTCGTCTTTTTCTGTGAGCACCATTGTTGCACGAGTGCCGTAATGCCTTAAGGCTTTCTCACTTATTGCACGGTTTCAAATTATAATGTGGCCATTGCCTTGAACTTGACATTCACAACACTTCGAATTGATGTCGCACATTTGGGACCATTTTCCTGTGTGGATTTATGATACTGATATATGGATTTTCACCTTCACCCAGCATAGTCTCTTGAGTTCACAGCTGAAGCGCCAAGTTCAAAATTAAAATACAGATTTTATGAACAGAGAATATTCTCGAATGCGCAACATTGATTGGAAGTGTTAAAATTTGCTGCTTTTATCTGCATTTTCAGTTTAAAAGTGAATTATCGCATGTAAAAGTAACGTTTCCATGTCACAATACTATGATCGGAGCATCATGCTTTACGTGACGGTGAACGCGGAAACTTGCAGCCGATATGACAACTAAATGTCTTCTGTTTAGAGTTAAAAATATTACACGAAAACTTTACGTCCACCAAAGCGGTCGATATCAAAGAGGGGTGCTTTAGATAAAACTCTAGACGTTCATTACCACACCGCCAACAACCAAAATACCGAACAATGTGTGAATTCGAGGTTGATCCATCATTCTCAAACTTCCACACATGCAGGTGAGAGAAGCGTAGATTCTTAAGATACAACCAGAACACTAGAGCTGCAACCTAATTTTCCCACATGCACCTCTGACCCAACTCTATCCGTGCAACGACGGGGGATTCTATTTCCGGGCCTTTTTCAGATCCGTTCGTAACAATTCAAAGGTGTGAATTAGAACCTACCGTGCAGTACCAGCCGCGTACCGCTCTTCCACCTGGAGAGCGGGCACACAAAATTTCTCACAACTTGTCCATCGTTCAAACTGCTGCGAATTCTTCGGCGGGTTTGGACTGACAGTATTTCATCCATTCATAAGATTCTGTACATCCATGTGATGAAAGTAATGGATGAGATGTGAAAACAAGTTTGTTTCGATGTTTCCAGGAATGTAATGTCTATTTCCTTCGCAATGTTATGAGAAGAAAAAACATGTTGGCCCCAATCTAAGATGATGGATATGAATAATGGGAAGATATTGGTGGCTTTGTATTCTAATTTTAACAAGTAAAGCATAATTCTTGCCCCAATAATTGAGGCTGATGTTGTGTGACAAAAGAGAAGCTTGAACAATACATATTGACATTTTGTTGCCATCAACAAATTGCATGTTGTTGTTATTGTTTTGTTTTTTTTTTTTAGTTTTTTTTTTTTTAATTTTTATTACACAATATTAAATTTATTTTAAAAATTGTGTATTGATTTTTGAATCTAACAATGTTTTTTTTTTGTCTTGAATTGAATTAAAATATTATCTAAAGATATATAAACCAAGTCAAATATAATCAAAACATATTGCCAGATTACATCAAATAACTAAATTTGTCAAAGTCAATATCAATTGCATCAAAATTTTACTTTCATACATGATTTAAAATCTTTAAGTTGTCATTTGATCTACATTTAATAAACAGATAAATGCACCTAATAAATAAATAAATAAATCTTTATGAAGTGTGCTTCTGGTCACTAGATTTTCTTATATGATTTCAAAACAAAAGCTATAAGTAATATTTTTCTTATTACACTTTATGATATTAACTTATAATCAAGTTGTTGTAATTCAAAAACAAATGGACAATTCTCTAATCAAGTTTCACTCCTTAACAAACTAGTCTTAATGCATCTCACAAAGAATCTTGTAACATTAAAGGCTAGTTTTTTTGTGGTTTGTATGATAACTTAGTAGTTATATTATTTTTGGATGGACATTGACTATAAAAATTTCTGTTGAATTTTTTTCTAATAAACTCATTGTTAATAATAAAACTTTATGTTGAAAATTTTCTACTTAATTTATTTTTATGATGTTGTACTTTTAACTAAGCTCTCTTTGATAACCCTGGATGTTGTTGATAAAATTTATATATATATATATTAGAAACAATAGATAGAAGACCCTATGCCTTTGCATTAATAATATTTTCTATACAAAGAATATAATACCTCAAAAATTTATTGGTATAACCAAGTTTATTACTTTAATTAGCTTAATTCTCATATTTACTTTGTTATGAAATATAAATAATGAAAAAAATATTTTAAATAATTTTTTATTAGAAGACTCTAACAATAAATTGTAATAAAAAATTTAAATAATGCTTTAAAATGATAACTTATCAAAATAACTTGGAAGATAATTCTATAAAGTTTTACTCTTTAACAAACTATTTCTTTTCTGGTTGCTTTTTTTGAATGTTCTGCCAAAGAAATCATTCTAAAATTTTAATTTTATAATAAAACTAAGATAAAAATAAATAAAACCCAAAAAATACTTTTATTCGTCTTAAGCTTTTTATTATTACAAATAAGATTCTTTGCAAATATAAGAGATGTATTAACCATATATATTTTAATTTATGGATAATGTCTTTTATTTTAATGAAATGAGATTCTTTGCAAATACAAGAGATGTATTAACCATATACATTCAATTTATCTTGATATGTTTAATTAAAAAATACTAAATAATTGTATTGGTTAATTTTTCACATGTTATTTTTTTTTATTGCACAACATAAAATTTGTCATCTTGGTTAATTGGTCTACCACCACTAACATAGAATCCTTCAAATTAGAACTTTGAGAAATCATAACAAAAATCTATTAAAACAAATAATTAAGAAAGAAGACATAAGAATATGTAAACACAATGTTGTAGCACATTTTCTTTTGCATATATCTGATACGATTGCATTGATTTTTCTCACATTTTCTTTTTTGTACCCACTAACAAAACCTAAAGACTAATTCTTCAGAGTTGTTATAGTCAAAATGTTGGATACTACAAAAATCACAATACGCTTGAAGAACCTTCAATAGCAAGTATTTTGCAGATGGTCATAAAAGTTCATTAAAATAAAAGACATTATCCATAAATTCAAATTCTTTCCCGAATTTAATTTCCTTAAATTATTCGATACTGTGTTTACAATATTGTGTTAATTATGTAAATATCGAATAATTTAAGGAAATTATTCGATACTATTGCTGTTGCCATGGCGATGGTGGTAAGAACAGCTGGTGCCTGGGGTGTGTCTACTGTCGCTCAAGTGAGGTGTGGAGTGGAGCCGGTACTGTATGCTAAGCAAGCGCTCATGCATTCTTGTAACTTGTCTCGGAGGGGTAATGGTCTGTCGATTTCGAAGTCGGGAGATGCTGCACTTCGGTGCGAAGCGGCTACATTGACGGCTGCTCGCGTAGCGATCCCCGACAAGGTTTCGGGAGGCGGAGTAGAGATGAGACGCATGGATGAGACTCGAGCTGCTCTTTGTGAGAGCTTGGAGGTTGCATCGGTCATTAGGAGGGTGGAGTGCATCAGCAATGAAGAATGTCGACCCATTCATGGCGAATCGAAATTTGTGTCCTGCACAGTTGTGGAATCGACAGTAGTTGGAATCGAACTGTATCAACAATGCCGTGTACACCATGGCAAAAGAGGCGGGGGTGATGCAGGTCTGGGACTCATGACACCTCTGGTTGTACATAAAACTGCAGCGAGGGACACACAGTGCAAGACTGAGATCTTAGCCAACTTCGAGGCCGTTCTACAGGGAGCCAGTCGCAACGCAGAAGTGCTTTCGAAACTGGCACTAATGGCGTGGCGAAAGCTGGGAGACGCGGATATGGCAGAGGAGTTGTACACGGAAGCGATTCAATTGTCACCGGGGGACTATACCATACAGAAAAGCTACGCTGAATTCTTGTGGCAGTGTGACGCGTAGATGAGAGCGGACGATAATCTAATACCAACGAAGAACAAAGTTCTGCAAGAGCCCAGCATATCCTAATCGACCTGGCAAAATTCTCGGCGCAAATGGCCATTAGGATATGCTGGGCTCTTGCCGAACTTTGGCTATTAGCAAAATTTCTCAATTCTCACCAGGTTCTTCATCGTGTACAAACAAACTCCGATCCTTTATTGCCAATCTCATTATTGTTGAGAATATAGTGCTTGTTGTTTGAAGAGAATCGAAGTTTTGCGATGGCCCTGCAAGTGTGGTATGGAATTGAAAAAATAAAGGGCCGAAGCTATGGGCAGCAATGTCGCAGCAGCCATTCTTCTGTGTTGCTGAGTACATCCACTCACTCATGATTAGATTGAGCAAAGAGCCTCACATCGCAGAGTGGGGTTGCTTGCGCTGGGAGTGGAAGGATGATGGTGATGATTTGTGTAGCTGCTGGCGGAATAGTTTGATGGCCCATAAATTATCTCACAACTTCTCTCGGATGGAATAAATATTTCACTCCTGCGAACTTACCCTAAATTATTGGTGTAAAATACAAAGCTGTAGTTTTTCTTTGATGGAAAGAGTGAATTTCGCACATTATTTTTCACAAATTGTCCCTGATTCCTGGTGTATGGTAGCCCCTAACCCAAAGCGAACTTGGTAAAAGTTGCTTTAATGATGTCATTCGAATGCGCATTGAATGAACTTGTCTAAATAATTCAGATATCACACTTGGGTTTTTCTAAGTATGCAGATCATAATAACACATTTCATGACCATTTTTCTACAAAAGTTATTAAAACTGACAATAAAACGAAGTGAAATCGATAGAGGAATTGAAGAATTATTACAGGGAATCGCACGAGTGGAAATGGATGAAAGAATGGTCATGAATGTCATTGAAGATCACGAAATCGTTCATCTACGGAGATGGAGACCGACATTCGTTTATTGGTCTGAATGGATGGATATCGTTCCTAGGGACAGCAGCTGATTTTGAATCCTTTTATAAACGATCGCTCGGAGGCATGAGTTAGTGAGCGACGCCTTCAATTGCTTCTGAAACTGCAAAATCAATCAACTCCTGCATTCCACCGACATGATTTATGCCCCCACGGTCTTTGAGGATGTTGGGTTTTCGGTTGTGTGGGTAGTTACCACAGGTTTGGTCAGTTTGCAGAGGTGGAGTAATGGGATAGCTGCATGTGTTCACAGTAGAGCCGCAGAGTACACATCGCAGAGGTTCTTGTGAGGGCCTGGTTGAAAGCAGAGCCGAAGGGATCTGAAGAATGAGCGAGGCGTCGAGGTTGTCTTAGATTTCAGGATTTGAGGTGTTGGATTGAGGGTGTTGGTGGTGGTGGTGGTGTGCAAGAAGCTTGAAAGAATGAGCAGTGTCAATGGAGGAGACATGGCGTGGGTCGGGAAGCGACCTGCGCGGCGGTTAGGGGGGATGGCGGACGTGCTCACCATGGCTGCTGATTTGGGATTCCCCGTGCCTGTACACATTTCTCACCTTCCGCTGTTTTTTGTTTTTATTTGTTTTTATTGTTTGTTTTTAGTGTTCTCCGTGAGAATTTCTGTGCTTGATGCATCAGGCACAGATGATGATTTTAGGATTTAATTTTATTTATTTATTTATTTTGTTGAAGAGGGATTGTGAGCTTAATCATATACCCTGCTGTACACATTGGAGTACCTTACGCTTTAGATGCAGACTAGAAGTTGAGGTTTAGTGTGTTGCAACTGTAATTCTATGTCAGCTGGAAGGGCCTGTAACTTGCGCTCGGGGGATTTTTGAACTAGAAATGATTTTTTTCCCATTGTCAAGGATGGCGAATGGTGCGTTGGTTCGTGTTCACCCTGGAGAATTGTGTAAGGAGTGTAGGAGGATGTGAGCCTATTCTACATTGGCATTGTAACCATTTAATGGAATCTGAAAATCCGTAGACCTAAGCTTGGCGTCCACAGCACGAATAATGTCAGATCGGTCGAAGAATGTATTTCTGGAAGACTTGACCGTCAATGTTAAATCTTTGGAAGACTCTAAGAGAAGGATATGGGAGCAGGATACAGAGGGAGCCGTTGGGGAGGGAGGCAAAGGGAAAGGAGCAAATGAGGAGGCCCTTGTGCGTGTGCTGCGAGAGTTATCAACAGTGCAGCGCAACTTAGCCAACCTGCAAGTCGAGCTTCAAGGTCGCCAGGTGCGTGTGCTCATAAATTTTCAGGTCTTCACAGTTTGCGGCGCACGTCTTTATTCTTGTGATGAATTAAATATGTTGAGCAAAATACAGATGAACACAAGATACGCATTATTTAGTCTTAATGGCTAGTGACGGGGAGACAGGATGATGAGAGGGTTGCGCATCTTACTCATGTCAGTGAGATAAAGAAAAAGTCCGAGGCGCTTGCCAAGACTACTGCTACCTTACAGGATGTTATTCACAACAAGGTAATCTTCCTTCTTGTCAATCTCTTTAGATCTTTGTCCACTTCACATGACTGTAGTCTTTTGTTACAGCAAACTGCTTTGAGGAAAAGCACTGGTTGCTCGAATTGCTCCTTACTCCTTATTGTATCATTAAACACATCCTAGTTTGAAGTATTGCTCGGACTTTCTATATTCTTTTCACAGTCTATGACTGTCGGGTCACGCTTTCTCTGAGGAAGTCAGTTGTATTGAGAACATTTGCTAGAAGATAGTTTTTAGCTACATTGTAGCTAGTGGATGTGTCACCTATTGAGGACCACTCTGGCGAGGTCGTGTACAAGTGATTGCGAAATATTGATGTTGAGGTGTAAGGTTGAATCTCCTACTGTTGTTTTTATTTATTTATTTATTTATTTTACACAATGGTGATATTGTTCTTTATCTTATGTTGGTGCTCAGGATCGAATCATTGCACGGTTGCAGCAACCCTACAGTTTGGACTGTATTCCAGTTGAGACTGAATATCAGGTACGTTGTCTTGGGGCTGTGTATGATCTGCCGATTTTCTTTACCACTAAACAGGGAACTTGCACCAATGTAAACTGGATAATGTAAATGCTATAATATGCTTTCATGTCTATGATACGATGCAACAGACACTATATCCTCTCATTGATGCGGATTCCTGATTGGTTGTTTAACTCTCTGTGTAACATCACAAACAGCGTCAGTTTTCCGAGTTGCTATTAAAGGCTGCTGGAGACTATGGGGCTTTGACTGCAGCTACAACTGATATTCAATGGACTCAGAATTTCAAAGAACCTCCAGCGGTTTGGGGGGTACCTAGGCTTCTCTTCTCTTGTTGCACTTAAAATTCTTATTTTTAAGATTCGCCGAGATCGTTCACATGATCATCAAATTCTGGAATGAGTGGCCAAGCTAGTTTTTGTGTTGACCTTTAATTATTACCAAGTGTGGTGTGATCATGTCAATGTTCACTTGAGAGTCTACCCCTGTTTCTGAAGCTTGTGTACTCTGTTTGGGGTGTAGGAGTTGTTGAGACCTATTCCTACAGCATTGGCCGCATGCACACGCTATTATGAGGCCTTGTCGACAATGCGAGATGCAGTAGCTGCACTTCACCAAGCTCGCGTCCGAGGCCCCCTAACACCGATGAAGGAAAACCGAGTTCCTGTTGGAACTCCTGTTGGAACTCCTGGGCCTGCTGTAACCCCGACTGGAACTCCTGCTGGAATTGAGTGCATAACTCCACCCACGTCGACATGGAACACGCCAGTTGAAGAGCCCAGCTCAGATGATGTCCTCATGCGTAGCCGTAGACAGTTGCAGATGCAACTGGCGACACAAGACTGGGCAATGGGGATTACAGATCCACAAGCTGAGCAGCAATATTTAGAAAGCATGAAACCCAGACGTATGTCATGGCCCCCATCACCAAGCGCTGGTGCAGTATTATAATTTCAAAAATTAGTTGGGATATTTTGATTATGATACCCTACTCTGGGAAATTATTTGCTGGCTTGGAGTTGTGCTGTTCACTGTAATGGCAGTAATGAGGACACTGTATAATGATTTCTGCCCACTTAACAAACATAATTTCTGTATATCATAGTGGTTCACATGGGTAAGTCTCACCATGCAAGAAAGTTAGCTAGGTTGAATTTGGAATATTTCCTAATTACAGTAGATCCTTACGATAGTTCAACGCAAAAATTGCCATAATTTTCAATGTACAGCGTATTACTCTCACCAAGATCTGGCTACAGATCCAAAGAATGTGATATACGCTCATGCTAAAATCAGCAAGAGAGATGGGCCCCTTAACAGCAATCTGTCTAAATGCACTGCCTGCAGTGACTTCTATCTCAACCCACACACATAATGCAAAATTTGGAGGCTCCAAGTATAAGTCGGGGTCCTGAGTTATACACGAGCAGGCTGAGGTGAAGCGGGAGCAATCTCTGAACCTTTTTGCAGATGGCTGACCGTCGTGGTTTGTGTCTCAGAGGTAGTGATAACGACGCTCAATTTTGCGTGATCTTGTACAGCTTCTTCATCAGATTCAGAAGGCCATCTCCGCTGTATTCGTGAGGAAGCAATTGATTGATGTTCAGCTTCCAGAGCTTGCCAAGAACTATCTGCCGTCAATGCCGATGAAAGGTGTGAGTGGGATGATTTACTACGAGAGGACTTGGGATGCAACCTATTGCTGCCGAGAACAACCTCCGAAGGGAGAATCAGCTGGCCATCCGATGGTGTGCCCATAAGAAGAGCAAGGGATCGCTCCAGAGAGGTGGTAACCCTGTCCATGGAAGGGCGATCTTTCCCTCGCATCCGTACACACCTCGCAGCCACTCTTGCAATTCGGAGCAACCCCTCAGGGTCAGCTGGGTGCTGTAATCTGGGGTCTAAAATGGACATTATTTCCCCTTTCTTAATGAGTGGCACTGCCCACTCCACCAGATTTTCATCCTCGTACTCGTCAATAGCCATCTTTCCCGTCAGAATCTCAATCAAGAGCACACCGAAGCTGTATACATCGCTCTTCGTCGTGAGGTAGTGTAGTCTGTAATATTCGGGATCTAAGTAGCCGAGGGTGCCCGCTGGAAGCTCGCTTAGGGGCCTGCTACTGTCGGAAGGACCAAGTAAAGAAAGGCCAAAGTCAGCAACCCGTGCATTGTATCCGCCGTCGAGCAGAATGTTTGCAGATTTAATGTCGCGGTGGATCACTGGCGGACAAGCATAACCGTGCAAGTATTCAAGGCCACGAGCCGCTTGCACTGCTATTTTCACCCTCGTCACCCAGCTCAACTGTTCAGTTTCTGATCCATGAAGATGTTCAAACAATGTACCATTCTCCATGTACTCGTAAACGAGCAGCCGTTCGCTTCCTTCATTACAATAGCCGATTAGGTTAAGCAGGTGGGCATGGTTAAGACGAGAAAGCAGATCAATTTCGTTGTTGAAATCTTGGAGGTTGTAAGATTGCTGGTTAGATGCGGGGATTGCTGGACGCTGTTGCAGAATCGACCAGAGACCCACAAGTCAAATCAGTGAACCAAAATGAGGTGTGCAAGCGACCCACAAGAAGATGCTCTTTTGCTACCATAAGTTTTAACATCACACAAGTTCAAGGATAATATATTCCCAGCTATTCTTCCTCAAGATACGAATAAAAAGCAACCTCGAAAAATTGAAACATGATCAGTAAACACGGACAGAACAGACGAGTGCCCTAGATGAACATATATCTAACTGTACCCAATAAAATCTAATTTCAGCTCGAGAACTTACCTTGACAGCCACCAAGCGACCATCGCCGAGATCACCTTTGTAAACACAGGAGAAGCTCCCCCTCCCAATTTCACATTCTTCTGCAAAGCCTTTCGTCGCATCATCAAGCTCCTTGTAGGTGAAAGACTTGGCACGGACTTTTTTCTCGAGCGCATCCTGTGGTTTCACCTTCGGAATCGATCGGAAGGAACTTTTTCTAACAGCTTGTTCCTGTGCCGCTGACTTAAAGTGACCAACCTTCATATTCTCTACTTTGGCTACTTTCGAAAGCTTTCGCCGAACACAAAAGAAGGCTACTATGAGCAAGACGCCTATCACCACCACGGCGGTCACAAGCTCCCCAATTATGATCGGAATCTGGATAGATTCCGTACGTGGAGCCTTTGAAGGGTTATAACAAGCTGCCGAGCATGTTGCATTGTGGTTACAATGTGAGCAATCGTAGCTGCACTGGCGATCTGCTGTCGATGTGCATTCCACAGATTCGATCATGCCGCTCGGGCATCCCTTGCTACAATTGATGCACAGGTTATCGGTAGGATTAGGACACAATGTTGCTCCGCTTGCAGCAAGCGCCTTTACAACCTCTGCACTGAGACTGTACGTGCCGGACATGCAGGGTAGGGAGCTACACATCCCTGGAGCAATTCCCGTGGGTAGAGTTACTGGATACCCCGAGCCCCAGCATTGTTGAGGGAGAGATGGGGTCAATGGCAAGCCGCAAACAAAGTAATCTCCAGCCACTAATGCTGAAAAAGGAACGTTCGTGGGCATAGCTCGGTTGTTCGGCAAAGTGAAACCCCAGCAGAGAGGGAGGTGAGTGTCCTTGTGAAGCCCACATGTCGAGAATTTCCCCGCCACTAAGGAAGTGAAGATGGCGCCCTTGGGCACGCCGTCTTGTAATGCCAGCGAGCGGCCCCAACAGAAGGTACGTTGGCCGTTTTGCAAAATGCCGCAGACATGATAACCCCCAGCTGTGATGGAATTGAATTCAAGCCCCTTCGGAGCTGTGCTGATGACACCACTGCCAGTCTCGTCGCCCCAGCAAACGGGAGTGAAGTTTGCGGCGAAGAGTCCGCAACTAAAGAAAGACCCCGAGGTGATGGACAGCAGAGGCGCGTTGATGAAAGATCCGGTCATGTTGTAGCCCCAGCAGTCCACTGCAGGCCCGCCTGCAACGTAGCTTGCAGATTGGCGCAGAGCGCACAAGTGGTTATCGCCTGCACTTAAGGCCGCATAATGCCGGTCACCTACGGCAGGAACTCCCGCTTCAACATAAATGTTGTTGCCCCAGCAGTATGGCTGCCGCGAACCCATGGACAAGCCACACACAAATCCATCGCCACCTGCAATATGAAGGGCTTACACACGCTTAACACCCATCTTTCGCACAACTAACTACAGCAAGTGGCAATGTCGCCGACGCTCATAACCTCGATGTAACACTAAACGCTCTGATCTCGATTGTTCACCTTATCCCGAGAAACAGCATCCCTGCATGTCTAATATCACTTTTTTCATTCATTCCAAAGAAGAGAGAACTTAAATCATTTGGAAACGTTTAAAAACCTGTGAGGCCGACGAGCGGCAAGCGTGGGGGCGCGCCATAGACAGAAGCGACATCGCTGCCGAAACACGAGACCACATTGGCTTTATCTGCACGTAAGCTACACAATGTCTGCCCATTTCCCCCATATGACACTGCCACGGAGTTCATGGATCCTAATGCGTCGCCAATTCGGAGCAGACTTGCTGCAACTACCACCAGGAGCAGCGCCTTCACTGCTCTCCATGGCCGCACGAGTACAGGCATGGCGGTCTGCTAACTGCAGTAGCACTACTCAACCCGCCGCCTCCCTCGCCTCACCTCACCTCCATCCTCTAATTCGCTGCACATTGCCATCACTCCATAACCCCTTGGTCCGCAAACCCACTTCCTGCTCTAGACTCTTATACCGCTCTGCCTCTACTCACATAGCATGAACTGAATCACTACAAGCAGCAGAAGAAACCAATGCCCAAGTAGACGTTCATAGGGTCAGCTGTACATTGAAGAGCAACCAAGGTCAGCCGTTTAGCTTCTGATCATCTAATCAATAAAGCAGAAGACAGGTTGAAGCTTCAGCTGCGGTAGTGAGGGGGAAGTCGTAAGCGCTCCGATACATGGAGAAGTGTCTCCGTCCTTGGTAGACAGGAAGCGTCTGAGCCAGGGTAGTCACCGTCGGAATCAGACATGGCCATTAATTCTTGTCAGGCAGCAGTGATGAGTGCGCCCTTGATGCCCAGGCTCATAATTATTCCCCCTCTTTTGCAGCTCCTCTTTTCTCTTGCTTCTGGCTTCCTTTATCTCCGCGGTGTCGCAAAAGTTCATGTGCCACAGCGTCACCGCTCTAGTTTTTAAGGATCATTGTGCAGGACGATAAGTGTGATTTGCAGTTCTCCTTAAGGACTTCTTGCTCCATCATCTTGATGTTTGAATGTCTCCCAAACGTTCTGACGGTCATCTCCCCCGAGTTGAAGCGGTGTAGGTGAGCCTGTTAGCACAGGTTTGACTGACAGACTTGCAGAGAGCCTCTCGTCAACGCAAAAGTCCAAACGCCTTCACAAGCAACATCTGTGTGCACTTTGCACGGTTTGATTAGCGATGTGGAGAGTGGAGCTGCATCATCTTTTTAAATGGGCTAAGCAATCCCGGGTCCTCAATGACATGAACTAATCGTAGAGAAGAAACTTGCTTGTTCGTAGATGTGAGCAGTTGAACTTGTAGTGACTAAATATAGTTGCTGAGATTACCAAGAAGTGCAACTGCTAAAAAGCTTGCGGCCCTCGACAGATCACCTATCTGGGCCACTTGATGTGCGTGATTACTACTTACAAGATAGGCAGACTGAGTTTGAAAGCAGCAGTGTTAACTTTCTCGTGTGGGAGCGGCGGTACAAGGGGAGAAAGAGGACGTGAGTCGCAGTACATTCTAGAGCAGCAGCAAATAAAAGCTGCATCTGGTACTCCTGAACATGGATCAGATAGCAAAACTATACCTACTAAGTTCTTACTGAGGATATCTAGCAGTACTTACGAGGACCTCTAAAACAATGGACAAAAGAGTGCACGAAAATTAAGTGATTTGTTGTGTAGTAAGGATTTATGGTAAGGACATGTTTGGGGTTAGCCCCACACTTCAAATGATTGACTATCAATAGATCTTATTTTCACACGAAAAAAGACAGGATTAGGATTCCCAGGGAGTTTGTCATGACACCCACTCAACAGTCATATGGTCACTATAAGTTCAACTAGATGCAAAATGGTGCGTTGATCTTATGTAGCTGCATGATAAGCACGTCAACGCCTACGAAACCAGCTCACTGCCACATTCTCTTAAAGAGGGCTGATATTTTTGAGTTCATTCAGGAACAAGCAAGAGAATACGTTGTTGTAGAACTCGGAGCCTTTCATAAGTTCACCGTCTCCAAGCACGTTCCGGACATCATACTTGGCAGCTCGTCCGCAATCAGGGCAATATGTCACCTGGCCAAATACAGATTCTAGATGCGTCAGCAAGTCATGGAAAAATACACTTCAAATTACACATGCAAACATCGCATTGGGAGGAAGAAACCAAAAGACTATATTAAGAGAAACTCACACATGTACGATTCTATCGGTTAACCCAATCTCTCCTCAAGCTATAAAGCAGGAGAATAAAGACCAGAGCTGATTAGAGTTTGAAAATGACCTCAAGCAGCTTAGGCTGAAACGACGCATCCAGCATAATGTCAACTCCATAAATGGCACGAGATGTGGGTGACTTCATTTCTGGATGAACAGCAGCTGCACCTTCGAAAACTGCCCGAAGGACCTCTCTCACTCTCCTGTGTATGTCTTGCCATTTCACTGCCATAAATTAAACACTTAATCAGTTAAGTGCTAAGACCTTCAATATACTTCCATAGGTTCGTACACTACGATGCCCGATTGAAGTTCGAAGTGTTGCTAGAAAAAAAGTCATACCATTATGCTCCTTTTCAAATTCAGGAACCCATGAGTGAGTGTCGAGGTGATTCATTGTCCGCCCATAGTTCTGAAATTCATCCAGACAACTCACAACGAATTATAACCAAGAACAATATGCAAACAAACTCAAGCACACCTAGACAATATCAACTAAAAGACAGAACTTGTACCTGATGAAGCTGTAAAGACACAAAACGTCATCTACACAGCTTTGGCTGTTGTGCACATCATACACCTAACGAATTTAAACGTGGCCAGTCTCAAGGGAAGAACTCGAAATGCTTACCATCACAGTGAAATGGGTTTCATACTCTGCTAAACTGTTTGTTTCTAACGTGTACTGATTGTTTGAGAAACGGCCCTGCAGGAACACATTCAAGGTCATTAACCAGGCGCACCTCCCAAAGACAACGTCCAGCAATATAGCTTGGTACCTTACTCAAGCCCACCGTAGAAATAAGCAAGAAGATGAATAAAGCCAATTTCGACAATTTGAAATCACGTTCTAGAGCAATTCAGCGAGACAGAATGACTCACCCAAAATACGTCGCACACAAAGATTTCAAGAGGCTGCAGACTCCTTAATAAAACGATATAGCGTAGGTCAAACTTCCGTCCTTTGTATAAAGCAGGCTGCTCAATATACTTTTGACCTATTTTGGGCCCAGTTTCTACCAACCTCGCAAGTGCAGGCAAGCTGCCCACGATAGACGTGTCAATGGTTCGAGCCATATTCCAAGGCTTCACAATCCACAGATTGTTCTGTTTGTTTTCTTCCCGTTGTAAGAAGTCACCGAAAAGAGCAGCTAGTTGAAGATCCATGTTGTAAGTTGGTTGTAACCAAGATGGTGTGCCATAGGCCTATAAATTCCCTCAGAATGAATTAGTACATAAAACTGAGCATTGAAAAAGAAATATTCAACTATGCTTTAGCCAAGTTAAAAAGCAACTTCTAATTAAATTTCGCTTCTAACGTTCCTCTAAAACACCTCCAGAATGTCAAATATTAAGAGTAAAGGACCTTTTGCATTGTCTCAGCCAGATTGTGCTTCATAACGATACATTCTTCTGATGGAAACTGATTGACATATTGTTGAGGTTGAAGACCAGCTGCTTTCCGAAACTCATCATCTATTTGCATATGCGTCCAGACAATGTCCGCTTCCTTGGGTTCTTCAACTGTAAGTACCCACAAGAATCACCTTGATATTACTTAATGGCTGACGTTCATGGCTGCTCGTAGGATCCTTTCTACTTTCTAATGCCATCAACAAAACTTCGTAACTCAGTCAAATGAGCAAGAGGCCTACCTAGCTTAAATTTAGGATGGGTCAAAAAGTCTGAGATTCCTGGAATATCACTGAATACAGATAGAAATGCTCCGTCTTGAGGAAAAATACTTGATGTCGGAGGATCATTGTAGGCGATTGGCTCTCTTACAATGGGCTGTTTCAGCGCACTCATGTGCGAATCATAAGCCTGTGGGAAGGGACAGAGTCATCATTGATTATATCCACCATGCAAAACGTGATAATGCTGCCAGCCCGAACAATGTCCGACGGCCACTAGATATTATTCCAGAAATCTGTATAAGTTCAAAGACATCTGATTGTACATGCATTAAAAGATTTGCGTGAAATGACTTTAAATAGGTAGGCATTCTCATGCCTGTTGGATACTTCAGAAGGAATGTGAAACCAGGCTGCCAAACGGGAGGAACGCTGCCGATCTTCTCCAATACCAAATAAATAATCACGAGTGCACTCGTCTCCACTTGAAACGTCCTGAACAGGCCAAAGCAGCGAATAACTGCAACAGATTCCTGGTTAATAACTTTATGCAACTTTCTGTGCATAAGCAAACAAAGCTTTAAAATGAAAAGCATCGCTAAAAATTGCTAGCAATGAACGCAAGAAAACAAAGGATCATTATTCTATAGAGATTGAATGTCCATGTGGCTCCTGCAAGCATTGAAGCTCATTCTAGAAAGCCACTGCTAATGCCCCTGACGTCTCCATACGTGAATGAGAAATTCTCGTGATATCGACCAGATTGTGTACTTTACACATGCTTTAGTTATTATAAGTAAGTGCAGATTAGGGGGGAAAGTACAGGAAGAAAAGAACACGTGTCTCTGAATAAAAAAGCGCCAAAAAATAAGTCCAAAGAGGAGCAAAACAAGAGCCCAAACCTGATAGCAGACTGAATTGTGCCGTCGGGCAAGTACATGAAGGGTGCAACCTGGAAATTGGGTACATCACTGTGACGAAGTGCGGAACCCAGTTCATCCATCACATACCTGAGCAGACACCAAAAATAAGAGTGAGAAATGAAGGTGACAATGCTATGCTACAAGCAACACATGTCACTAGTTAGACACAGATTAACAATAATCTCGAATCATGTGACACTAGCGCAGTTTTAACAAAATTAGTAGACTTGCAGTCATTAATGAACAACTGAAGGCTATCTGATATGTTGTGACCAATGCACCGTTCGCACCGAGGTACTGAGTTCGGAACTAAAATTCCTGAAAGCACAGTTTACTCACCAGATAGGTGTTTCATCTAACTTCTCTTCGTCTGCCAGCCTGTATGTATTGATATATTGCCACATTGCACTCATGACCCGCTCTATAAGAGGTTCCTCTTTTGAAAACATAGGCAATCGCGGTTCGAGATTGCTCATTGTATCGTTATTCTCTTCGCCCAGAAACTTGTCTCGAGAACGTCCATTCAGTTCTAAGACGAATGGTAAAGCTTCTGCAATAGAAGAAGCATTTCCTAAAGGTCCTGGAATATCCACCTGCAATCCACAACTGTCCTATTACTGCTCGTCCCTCTAAAATTGTATATTATGCTTAAAACATAACAGCTACGCAAAAATTACCTGAATGTACTTACCACATATATCTTCCCTAAGTGACCATACTCGAAGAAACGTCCATAGTGAACATACGATCGACATAAGGCACTTGAAAATTCCTATTAACATGTAATCAGCTGTCCCTAAATTTTTAGAGATTCATTCACGTCTTGGTCTCGAAGGAAGCTGACCTGTAGAGACTTCAGAGATTTAAGAGTTTGAATTGTTGCAAGCAGGCTCTCCGCAGATTCGTTGGCGAACGGATTCCCTCTCAGGTTCAATGAAGTTAAATTCGGTAACTTTTCCGGATTGAAAACCTGATTTGTAATAAAGACATGAGTACAAGTCCTCATCAGTACTACTCCTACTACGAATATAGAATTTTTATATGAAACAATGACACTCAATACTTTCGTGGATAAACAAATGAGAAAGATCATCAAATAATCAATAAACAATCAATAAAAATATATATGTAACTTTAAAAGCATATGAGAAAGGTAGAAGGTTTAATCAGCAGCATCCTACATGTGGAGAGAAAGTTTGCATATCCCGCTCGGACAGATCAAGTGATGTAACGTCCTCGAGCGCCTGATCTTCCGCGAAAAGGTGGCCAGGATGATTTGCACTAAATACGCCGGCACAGAAACCCACTGCCCACAAACCATACTTGTTCGTGAGCTTCCTGTTGTAAATCTCAAGATGTGGTAACATTCTTCCCAAAGCGTCTTGAAGCTCGTCATTTCTGTGCATCAAAACACAGACACTCTCAGAAGAACAATAAATTACATTTTCATAGTGCAGTAAGTATTCATAAAAGAAGCACGCTACACTCGTTACAACCACTGAAAAATAGATACTCCATTTGGTACATGACTTCAGAGCTTACTTGTTTGAGGCAACAGGGCACTCGTTAAGCCAGAGAGCACGTAACTTGCTGAGACCTGCCACGGTATTCATCACTTCCTCCACCGACTCCAGCGGATTGTTCCACATACTAAGTCCTATTAAATCCTACACCAACTACCACATGTGTTTCGTAAGAATTGGCAAGGCGGGGAGTCAAAACGTGACAGATTATCTTCAAAGAAATCAGCCAGATAATAACCGTGAAAAGTTTACCGGGAACTTGGCAGAAAGATTTAGTTTATGAAGAACTTCATCAGTAACGTTCCCATCATCGAGTTCCAGCCAGTAAGTTTTCTCGCCCCTCCCTTCTGTTTCTGCCGCAATGTGTAAAATTACTGATTCAATATCACTTGTTCCTTCTAATTCAACGTTGTCAATCTCCTCAACATCGTCTGCCACGCACATGAGGGCAGCCATCCTCTCAACCAATCCTGGTATTTGCTCAAGCTGCCAGGACAAATCGAATCACATCAAACACCGATCCGGCCATTTATCTGCAGAGTATAGTGTCACACGTAACAGCTGTCTCACCACGCCCCCGCCCCAAAAAACGTAGAGGTTGGCACCATATGGCAATCAATCCTGAACAAATGTCAACACGAAATCATCATCGTGCCTGCGCTCTAAACTATGAGCTACGCATTACCTGAGAGCGAGCTTGAGTAAGACGGAATGACCAGGCATGATCGATCAAAAACACATCTCCGAGTTTAGGCAACCTCTGGCTCGAAAAAACCAAGCGACGCTGCCTGCCGCTTTCAACCGGCTCAATCTCAAAGAAGTTGCCGCCGTCGAACACATCGGCCGACAGCTTGTCGAACAGCTTCTCGTGCAGTGACGGCGGCAGCCCCGCCGATGCCAGCAATGCTCCATGCACCTCTAAAAAATCCTCCAATTCTTGCACCTTCATTTCTCTGCTCCAAGCCTACTCCCCACACTCTTCCTCTGCACCCAATTGGCGTCTCTTTGCTCTTCCTACAAATGGCTTCTTCGATTTTCCCTAGTGCGGCTTCAAGCGCCAAATCCGAAATCCCAACCCATAACCCTGCTGGCATGCAACATCCCTCGCGCAGTCATGCGGTCAAACTGTCCAACTCTTCGAAACCATTGGAACGCCACGTTCCCTCGCTGGGCCCTACCCTTTCCTTTCGCATTTTACACAGAGAGAGATGCATGAATGATGCGGGGTTTTGATGTTTTGCATCCACAGTGCTGCTAGGGCCAAACGCGCAACTGAGGAGCAAGTGTTGGTAAGTAATGCAGCCTCCACTCAATGTGAGATTAGCAGCATTCCACGTTTTAGATTTTATTTTTTATTTTTTTTGTTTATTTTTTGTTTTTTTCTGGGGTTTGTTCTGTAGAAATTTGGACGAGCTTGTAGAGAATTGTAGGAGGTGCAAAGCGACCAAGCTTGAGATTCGTTTGAATCCCCCTTTAGGAGACAGATTGGATAGGTCTTCTTCCGTCTTTCGCCTTGGTGATCGCGGTCTTATGTCAATCTGTATAGTAGATGACAAAAGGCTTTTCTCAGTTGAAAATTTGGTTTGAATAATGGTCCTTGAGGATTTCAAGTTTCCAGGGAATGATTCTAGTGGAGACTTGTGTGGGGTCATCGTATGCTTCTCTTACAAGTATTTGCTCCGTTACCGTGGTTGATTCCAGTGCTCGCAAATGCGCAGTGGGTGGAATCTAGTTGTACCAAATCGGCTGGGTCACTAACTTGCTTTGGATTGGGCCCAGTTACTCTGTAGACGTATTTGCGTCGATGCCAATTTTGTATTGAGGTCTCTATGGTGCAAAGCTGGAATTGTGTTTCAGTAATATGCTCTTTGCGATATCGATTATCAGTTTTTCGAAACTGCCTAATGATCTGATCCTGCGCAGAAGAATGCTAGGCAATCTTGAGAAATTAGCCAGATGCTGAAAGACGAATGATATGTGGTGTAAAATTCTGATGAACTGTGCGGATACTTAAATAATCGGGCTCAATAGTCAATTCGGAAGTGATCTCAGTGTCATGAAGCAATTTTGTGGCACATGATTCACATCCTGCCAAGCTTTGTGTACAGGTTTTGATATGTTCAGATAGAAAAACTTATCTCGGGACGTGAGCTGATTTGAACAACCCTAGACAGCTAACTTAATGGATGTGATAGTGTCGAAACTCAAGAGGAGACGTCTGTCGTTTATGCACAAGCGCCGTCCTCTTCGTCTGATCCTAACAGATCCAATTAGCGGTCCTTATTCCTTCGGGAATGAGAGTAGCGCAACCGGGTGGTATCAACAAACATGTTATATTAGTAAGGTATCAGAAACTCTGTTGTTAGTATAATAGCGAGGTCTTCTCCTGTTCGATTTGAAGCACTTACAAATGTGCTATCTTTCCCAATTCATGTTTGTTATTTCAAAAAAATAAAATAAAGATATAGAGAGGATGGTTGACCTCTGCGCTGCTCATTAGAACATTGTAGCGGAAATTACAATGCGGATAGCATCGGCTACTTTCTTAACATTCTTCCTGGAAGTAAAGCAGATGACTATCTGAGGGTTGTAAGCAAGGATTGTTGAAATGGGATGGCACTCACCAACGGATTACATTTTATACAAGCTGATGGGTTGGCTGGCGTTCACAGCCTGGTCCATCAGGGTCTGGCCTGAAGTCATTCTTAACGACACACGGAAAGGGTTAAGAAGTGAATCAGACATTAACTGACGTTTGATAGGGTGTTATGCTGCAATGTTAGGTCAATGTTCGCCAACTGAATGCAAATAATGAACGTCATGTGTTAACCTAGATATTTGCTAAACTCTAATAATACGATGTAGTAAACCATGTACTGTATATCATGACTCTAAATATTCATCTTGCTCTATTGAAGTGTGCAGAATAGATGTTCTAAAGCTTGAAATCCTACTCTGGTCAGTGATTAAATAAATGGCTGAAGCAGAGCAACTCGTATTTCTGCGAATTTCTAAGAAATGTTTTTCTAGATACTTAGTATACTCAAAGTCATTTTATCCAGCTATGCGGTTCATGTGTTTCCGTAGAACCTACGTCAAGTTATCTCAGTACTCTAATTCAGTTGCGAGCATCTCGCTTTCTACTACTAATAGCTAATCGAATTGTATGTTTGCTACCAAACAGCTGATTTCAGTAGCTCCAAGCGATGTGGCTTTCTCGACTCATGCTGTACTCGCATCAGCTACGGCTTTACAATTATTCTTCTACGAGGTACCTGATCTCATTACCCAACTTAGATTACATGGAACAGATCCACTTTACTCTCAATAAGATAACCAGGCCACCAATAGATTAAGATGGCACATCGTGTGTTCCACATTCATCATAGTGCAATGGGCAATGCTTTCTTTCTTAGATCCATAAGCGAGGTCCAAGGATTATGTGTTGTTATGGTAGTGCAATTCGTAAGCTCCTCTTTCCTACTGCTTGGAGGGAAGTTTGGCTTGTATCAAAAGAATTGTAATATTACTCGCTCAGACAAGCACAGACTTTGAGCAATGCTAGAGTGCTTGGTGGTCCTATTTTATCTGCAGAAAGGTGGTCAGAAGCTTTACAGCTGCCAAGTACCTGTAAAGTCATATCAGGTTTAGTATGGATGGAGGCCCTCATTGTATTGTGGTGGTTTAGTAGTTCCACATGGACTGACTTTCATTGATTTATGATTTTAATTGAATGTCTTCCTGCCTTAACGACCCAATATTGCGGTGCCATGTTCGAGTCTCTATGCTTTGATACATTGAAAGTCTTACTTTCGCAAAACTTCGACCTGGCAAGAGGAAGGGTTACTATGCTCTTATATTGTGGTTCTGCATGTAATTTGAGGACATTGATTCTGAAGCTTTGATGAAAAACCAATTAGTGTCCTAGTTCCTTGCACTAGGCTTGTACGGGATTTCCATAACCTTTGTACGATTGGCTTTATGCTGTTGTATCTGTCGATTGCAGCTGCGTTCTGCTCCTTATGACAACCATTTTAGTACATGTTCTTGTTTTCTTTCCGATATTCACACCTGTAATTCATAACCCCACTTATTTGTGTTTGGTGTGTAACAGGTCATGTTTGTTTGCTTCGTGTGACACATTGGAAATTGCTGGATAGATGACTACACAAGTTCTGGGTTCAGGATATGATTCAAACTGAAAGTTTGTCCGAGTGGATGCACTACACGTGCTACGCAAATTTGGGTTGTGCTCGACAGACTTGTCACGACCACAAGTATTATGCTTGAACTTTGCTTCTAGGTATATTTGCCTTCAATAGGACGAGCACATAAGGAATGAGCACATCTTCCCAACATTTACGGCTGGCATTGCAAACTCTTCACAGCTGCTTGCACAATTGATCGACGTAAGTATGTGTTTCTATCCTACAGTTTCCGGAGCCTTCAATTCACATTTTGCATGCCCATTTTTCTACATGTTAACTCAAGGAGTTTTCTGGCAGTCAGAAGCGCTGCGAACGACATTGAGCAGAACAAATAGGTCTGCTCGCAGGTGAAGCCAGGTAGAACACGAGAATGTGCTGTAATAATGAACACCATGCTTCATGTCATAACCAAAATAACCACATAGTCTATCTGACTTTTGAGAATTTGTAAACGAGAGACTTTGTAAACGAGAGGACAACAAATAGATAATGAAAAAGTGGCAGTTCGAGTTCTTAAAATATCGATGTATTATAAGACGGTCAGCTTTTACACATAAAGTTGTCAAAACTTCAATCGAGAAAATGGTCTAGATTTGGCGTGGGTTCTCCTGCACATGATAGTTGCTCTGGTCTTCTTCACCAGTACCGGGCTCAATGCCCACCGATGAGGTGCTGTTACAATCTCCAATTTGGTAATATGCCCATGCCTCTGGTGGTACTGAGGTGAGTTAAGGCTACTGATTTCCGGCACATGACATCGCCACAGCGCTTGACTCCCTCTCCAGTAACACCAAAATCCTCTTCTTAATCGGGCTCCTTCGAATACTGACAATAAAAAGTGAGCAAACTCCAAAAAGGGAAAAATTTCGCAGTACTAAAAACAGGCTTTCAGAACCACGATGACGATTACAAGAGTTTGTGTGTTGCAGACGCGTTGTAGTTCCCCAACGTAAACCTTGGATGGGTGAATCACACGACAAACCGATAAGTGACGTATCGACCCGCAGTCTCACTTGGTCGTATGATCTTCACCACTTGTCCCCGCTTTAGACCATAGTACCGCGCTACAGGATCATTCTCTTGCATCCGAGGGAGCTGCAAAAGCAATACCGCGCCTTCTCAGATCCAGAAGAAACAAAAAGAACTAAATACTGCATACAGTATAGTGTATCACAATTTTAACAAGACAATGGTGACCTCCAGAGACTGCAATACGGGTCTCAAGACGGCTGAATGGTGATTGATTTCTCCATTTTTACCTGCAACCGAGGGAAAGAATGAAAGCGAGTATGTACCTGAGTCTCCTTCACGGTATAACGCTGCAGCAAAGTGATCTTCTCTTCGGCATTCAACACCTCGTGTTGAGGAACAAGAACATGGTCCTTGATGTTCACCAGCAACTCTGCTTCCTGGCATGAGCAATTCTTTCAGTTGAACCCCCAATCACAATAAAGCCCTCCAGAAGACTTCAAAATCTCCAACAGGGGCCTCTTCGCGACTCAGAATACAGACTCGGCAGTCAAAAAAGGCAGAGACGAGCGCGGCTGACCTGAAAAACTTCCACATGGTACTTGCTAGACATTTCGCTCACGCATTGTCTTGCAAAGGGAGTGAGGTTCTGCTGCACAACAAGAATAGCCCTATGCACATTCTCCGTCTTCATGCGGTCCACATAAGTCTTAATGGTCTTCACTCCAACCTTCGCTTCTTCCGGAAAAAATACAAATATCTAGATCATGACAACATGCATCAATTGTCATCAGCTTTCAGGAATGATGGCGTGTGGCAGCAGGTTATCTATTGTATGAACAAGCAACCTGGTCATAAAAGCTTCATAATTACACAAGTTTTTAACGCTGGAAGAACGTCAAAAACTACGCGCCAAGAAAACTAACATGTTCAGCATTATTAGAACGCTTGGGCTTCTGGATAACCAAGTCCTCTCGCTTTGGCTCATCCCCATACTTCTCTCGGAACTCCTCCTTAGTTGAATTAAGCTCAAACTCGGCCACAACATAGTCCCGATCACGAAGCATCTCCATGACAGTCTTTCGAATTCGATATAACCGCGCGCACTGCTCGTCGAGTGACTGACCCGACATCATGAACCCTTCTTCAAACCTCTCACAACAACAAAAGCTGATAAACCCTAAATAGACTACCACCAATACAACCAGGAGGAGCAACCAAGGCAAAGGTACGTACAGCATGCACCTCAGTTTCCGAAACCAAAAATCAGGGAAACACGAAGCGAGATATAATTGAATTGCATGAAAGCGGGAATCCAAACACGAGCGCAGGGTATTCTCTTCGCAAACTTGCACTCTACGACACTATAAATTTGGCCGTTTCAAGAGCAATTGCAATAAGCGCTTCTTCTAACGTTTTCGACGCGCCATGCTCAACCTCAGAGCTCAAACCAACGAAACCGTAAGGCAAACTTTCCGGAACTGAGAGAGTTGATTTTTCGAAGACTCTTATGATCTTGCTGCCAAATGGAAAATAAAAATAAATCAATAAATAAATAACACAATGATCTCAAGGAAAGGCTGCGCGTCGAGCCGCCAATGAAGCGACGCTGCGCCGCCATTCGAGCGACGTTCATCGCTCATGGCCGGTATCACGGGAGCCTTGTGCGACCATGGGTCCTGATTCAGAACACAATGGACACGGTGACGGGTCCCCGTTGATAAAGTGACCCAATAAGGGACCCCTTCGTGCCATTTATTGAACTGTAAATTTACAATGCTTGAAACTTCAGTGGTTTAAATTAACGAATTAGATTACATTTCTAATATGAATTGAATTGTGGTCTTGATTGTTGTAAGTGGAGGAGTGTAGAAGTGTACATTTTGAAGGATGCGAAACAAGAATGCCACATTAAGACATGTGTGTGTTTGTTTCAATTTAGCTCAGTTTTCTTCATGATTTTTTTTGTTTTTTTTCCTACTAAAGTGATCTCAATAAAAAAATTTAATTTTAGATATGCACATGACAAGGTTCATTTATTGTCAAAAGTTAAGGTTACTTAATTTCTTATAAGAATATCATAGACATTCCAATATATCTATATATATATATAGAGATATATAGATATACATATATATATATATATATATATATATAGTTAATGTAGAAAATACTTTGTTATTTCAATTCACCCGAGACATTATCATAAAATAAGAAAAATATTTCAATGATGTTCAAATAAATTTTCTTTTTCAAATTATGAATCAAAAAAAGTTTAGTAATCATATAATAAAAGAAGGAAATTGCTAGATGGACACCCCTCTTTTAGCACATGAATACCCATGTGCCTTGCACCTTGCAAACACATTCCTACAAAAAAAAATAAAAAATAAAAAATAAAATAGCTAGTCTTTTATTCTAAATCCTGATTCTTGTTATGTTTATGATTTTAATACCAAAATTTGATATACTCTTATTAATGTGCATTTTATGGCTCTATATTATTTCTATCTTCAATGCTTTTGTCCATACAATTCTTCATTATATTAATTTTTTGAAAGAAATAAAATAAAAATCTTTATACTTTCATTTTTTATTTGAATTAAAGCAGAATGCAATCATTGATGCTATTGAGTTGTATCCATAGTTTATATTGTTATACCTTATTTGATAGAACAGTGTTGCTAAAGTTGTATTTTGTTTTTATATTCTTTTTAGTTAGGTTGTGTAAAAATAAAATTAGAGATTAAAAGTTGCATATACGGAATTGCAATAAATTATACATCTACCTTAAACTTATTAATATTGGCATAGTAAATATTGGCAAAATAGAAGAAAAAAGAAATATATATAGATATATATATATATATATATAGAGAGAGAGAGAGAGAGAGAGAGAGAGAGAAGGAGGGGAGTTTTAAAACTAAGATGCTTAAAAAAGAGTTAGGTAAGTATAGGAGGTAGTGCCTATTTAAAATGTGGTTTTTGCAAGAGAATAAGTAAAGTAAGAATGAATTGACACACCAAAAAAATAAGACTTAATACATAAAATAGTATAATATAATAAAATATAATTAAAGGACAACCATGCCCTTCTAGTTTTTTACTATCATACAAAGACTATATTTCTCTTGAGCTCGAATGTCTTTATTTTGTAAATAAAAGCAAGGATCTTACATGCTAGTATATATAAATTGTAACAAATTTTTATAAAAAATAATCAAAAAAATAAATAAGTTACTAAAAAATTCTATCTTTTACTTTTTTAATATATATAATTTATTAAAAACTATTGGTGAATATATTTATATTTATATTTTGTATTTAATAAATATTAAGTTTTTTTAAAGCATTAAATATTTATAATAAAAATATTTATTTTTATAATTTAAAATTTTATTACAATATAGTCATATTATTTTATGAAAGTGTTTAATTTTTACATCTACTTGGAGGTGTTATAATACACATACAATTTTTATTAAAAAAAATGAATTTAATTTTTAAAAAATTAAAAATTGAAGTACAATACATCTAAGTTAAATATTTAAGTTATAATTTTCAAAACTTAATAATTTGTCTATTTTAAAGACTAATCAAGTAATAAATAAAATAAATAATTTGAATCTTCTGCATTGTTTTGTTTGTTTGTAGAGATTGTCTTATATTCACTTTTATTTATTTTATGAAAATTTAATTTACGTAAAATAATTCAATATATTTTATTATAAAATTATAATTTTTTTCTTAATTTTTTTGATAATTTTACAATAAATTTAAATATTGCTTTTGATTACTGAAGTTTGTCAAAACAAATCATCTGTCCTTATCTTTTAAATTCATTGACCTAATGTGTAACTTTTTCCAATATTTCTTCATTAAAAAAATCAATCTTTTTATATATTTTCTCATTACAATAATTCGGTTTTGATTGATTTATTTTTATTTTTATTATTATTACTATTTTAACAGCTTTGACAATTAGTCTAATGTTTTATTGCATTAATAACCACATTATTTTTTTTAATTTTTTAATTTTTTAAAAATAGATTATGACTACTTTAAAATAAATTGAATTTAGTTAATTTAGATTTATTAACTAAATTCAAGTGTGTGTAGTAAATGTCTACTTATAACTACATGCATAACTAAAAGAATTTGTTTTATTTGGTTTAAATGTGATAATTATAAAAGATTTATTTAAAATAAGTTACAATAGATTATCAAAACATGAAATTTTAGTAAGACATGAATATATATTTATTTAGTAATTTGATGATCGAATCATTGAAAGAATCCTAAATTTTACATGTTTCAAAGTCAAAACTAACACTTGTGATTTTTTTGCTAACTAAATATATCTACATTATAAGAAAGCTTAGTTAAAGACAAAGACATAAAGAAACTTTCTCATTGGCCAAAATCAAAAAAAATGTTAATTAACCAAAAACCATGCATAACTTGCAAAAAGACCTCTAGTATAGTATATGTACAACAAATTATTTTATAGCTTTTCATTGCCCAATGACACATGTTTTCACTAATTAATATATATATACACAACTTACATGTTTAAAGATAATGATGTTTGTTTAACTATGTGCATCCATCTAAGATGCTATCTATATATTGATGATTTCATCCATCTACTTTTACTACATTGCACCACTTCAACATATCACTTTATTTGTGTCAATTTCTTCAAAGCAAAATCAAATCAAACAAACTAAAATGGAGAAAGTATTGTTTTGTATGTTGTTGCAATTCTTTACACAAATGCAAAACCTCTATGTACCAAATGGTCTTACCACTCTTAGCTCTAATATAAGGGTCAAATAATGGCAAATAAGATCCATTTCTAGGATGTTGATACCAACTAGAATTGAACATAAGACTTTTGGATTAAAATTATAATATACTACTATTATACCATAGATTTTAAGGTAATAGATAACTAGCAACACTTCTTTAGTCAATGTTGTCTAAAGCATCATTCATTGTCACCTCCTTTAATCATGAGAGTGGCTCATGTGCCAAAGGAAATAATATTTGTGTTGTTTTTTCTTTCTTTTATTATCACCTCTAATCATGAGAGTGGCTCATGTGCCATAGGAAATAATATTTGTGTTGTTTTTTCTTTCTTTTTAATTTTTAGATTTTTATAGTAAAAAACACACAAATTAAAATAATGATATTGTTTTAAAATAAATTGAGGAAAACATTAAAACATTTACCTTAAAATCATTACGCTGGTATGTCTATATATTTTTACAAAGTACTCAAGCATTTGGTATATATATATATATATATATATATAATCTTTAACATGTCTCTATCTTTCAATTCAATTTGAATCAAAATCACAGCTAGAATGGTAAACATGTTTATGGGTAATCACAATTTGAATTGGAATTTGAATTGGATACTACTACATGAATGAAATAGGTAGTCACATGTTTATATTCTTGAAAGAACGAAAAAAATCTCGGTGGTCATTCTATGAAACTGTGTGATAATCATAACAGATTTTTTCTAGGCTTCAGATACATGACGTGCTGAAGACATCAATGCTTTGCAAATTGATGATCAATTCTTAGAGAAAATTCCAAAACAACTGAGAACTTGAATGGGGGAGACTAGTCCAATATCTATGAATGACGATTCAGGACTGAATAAAATTTTCATCTTGGTACACACAATTATTGAGTGTTAACTATGTCCTGTGTAGTGATGAGAAAAATTAGAGGTCTTTACAAAAACAAGCATTTCCTGCCTTGTACGCGACGGTCCCGAGTAAAATGATCATTACAAAACATTTGATTAGAAATTGTGATGTATTTCATTTGATCAGATTTCACAAGTATATTTCATTTTGTTGGGCACCACATATTGGATTTGGTCCAAGCGACATATCACATTTGAATTTATAAATCCAGGCAACTTCTTCAATCCTACTACACCACCACAATCCAAAAAGGACAAATGATTTACAACCACCACGAATAGCATGCACAAGTTCCGCTCAGACAACTTCCAAATATCCATTACAAAGAATGCACTCGAAGTGAATACATGGTCATCATAATTGCTAACTCATAAACAAGGGTCTACAGATTCTTCAGAAAGAACTGATACTTGCCGTATGTGTTCCGTCAGGAGCTCAAACCAGGGCCAGGACCACTTCCGCAGAATTAGATGATCGAATAGCTAGGCAACAAAGCAACCAATCGCGCCATCTTTAGGAAATCGTGAGGTGCGTTACCTTGTAACCTTGTAGCTCTGTGTAAAGAAAACAGAAAAACACATCAATTCAGATACAATAGACTTCAATCATGCATGCAAATTTCAGAATTCTTAACAAGTGTACAAAAGAGGAAACATTGAAGCATCCAAAGTTTTAAGATAACGAGGCAAACTCAAAAAGCAAGCATGCTCAAATTTAGGTCGTTGAAGCTCTCGGGTAATACATACCCTCACTGTTTTCAATAAGTCTCTCGCTTTAGGATCGTTTTTGAAATGGTCGCGCACAGGCTGTTTCAATCATATCAACAAGGTATCAGCACAGAGACCAACTGAATTGTCCATGACCGGCACGGTTGCCAACGTGTTTGATAAGACAAGTCTTTGTTTTCCTTGAATTTTGACTTTAAATTAAAAAAAATCAAAATATTCTATAAATACCAACACCCAAGAATCGACTTTAAGTTCACGAAATCAGGCAGAGCAAATTGACCATTTCAGGAAGGAAGCATCTGTACACGTGAAGCTTGGTAAAGGTGCACGATCAACTTCACTAAAAAATGGAGAATAACAAATGATATGTGAACATCAGGTTACGTGCAGTAGGGATTTTTAATCACTACGCTATGGTCAGCTTATATCAAGAGCCATACCTGCAGAATCTTGTTTATTCCTGACGAGAGCGCAGGTTTCAAATCAGCAGGATGCAGTGAGCCTTCGGCGTAGTCTTTTTTCAATTCTTCAATATCAGTGTAAGTTCTGTGAAATAAAAAAAACCGCTCTCAATATATGTTTCGTACTATGAGCCTCGAGAAGCAATGTGCATGGTACAAGTCATTCCTTCGGATGCAACAATACAAAGGTAGACCATGAAACCAAACAAAACGAAGTAAACGAAAGTCTTACTTATTGCCACCGTTGTTCTCAGCACGTTGGACTTCAAACTGGTTGAACCATGGCAAGATAATGTACTGGACGTACTCAATGCATGGATTTCCTGCAACTTCCTGGGGTGGGCAGTAAGCTTGCTTTATCTTCTTCTTCACTTCCGCCTGCAGTTCAAAGACGCGACGACTTATCAAATGTTTTGCGTCTTTTAGTGCAAATATTGGAAATATTCGGGCAGTGATTAGATATTCCTGATGCTTTCGACTGCCTCGCTAACTTTTAATCAACAGAGTCAATGCAGAAAATTCTTCCTTGGCTACAAAGCGATGGTGCAACAATGCACAATGAGGCAGACTTTGCTACGACCTGCTCAAACATCTCAGGATGGACATGAACATTTTCAACACCTGCGCTTACACTATTTTCAATATATCTCAAACGGCATGCTTCTTCCATCTAACTGCATCCTTAAGACCAAACAACGCATAGCTCAATGACAAATTTTACCTCATCATCCTCCATGAAGATAGCCGAGTTTGGGTCACTCTTGGACATCTTTTCCTGACCAGCCAATAAACCAGGAAGCATATCTGTAACATGTCAAGGGCAAAACTGCTCCAAAGTTTCAGTCTGAGTTAACCTGTACGAAGCTGCTGACAGGTGAAAAGCCTAGTACGCTATACATTTAGTTTTCAATTATCATAAAATTGAAGAGATAAATCAAAATTGCGAAAAATATCGGACTAACGGTGAGCAGGATACGATGTGAGAGAATGATGGGTTTAAGTTTCCGCTTAATTTGGTCGCAGTATTCTCGGGCGAGAACGTTCACTCTAACTTGATCATTGCCGAGTTGGCAAATGTCGGCCTTGAGGAAAAAAATGTCTGCACATTGCATACACGGGTAGAAAATTTGCCCAGCAGACATTTCGTCTCCTTCTTTGCGACCCATGATGGTACAACACCTGGTAATCCTGTTCAATGTGTTGCGGCGGGCAATATCCATGACAAGAGGCCAGTACTCGGAGGCTCTCCCATTAATCTCATCCGAAGACCACAAAAACTCCACTCTCTCCAAATCCATGCCCGCAGCCTTCCACACCTCAATCATGTAACGTCCCACGGTCTGGATCTTCTTCAAATCTCCACCCATCTTGTTGTTGAGCTGCGCGAACCAATCCGCAATCCAAAACTTGAAAACACACCCTGACTTGGTCAACTTGTTGACATTGATCACCTTCATGATCCCCTGGGCAATATGCATCCGCCCTGACGGCTCAAATCCATCGTAACAAACGGGATCTTTCTTCTTGGCCAACAGATTGCGCAGCTCTGCGAAGTCATTCTCTTCGGGAATGCACTTGTTATTCTCCCCGACGCTCAACACCAGCTTCAGCTTTTCTTCTAATGTCATCTCCGCAGTCTCTTCTCCCTTCTTCTCATCAGCCTTCTCTTCTGAGCACACGTCTACCTTCTCGACCACAGACGCCAACTCCTCGGCGGCGGACGCCATAGCTCAGAGCTTTGAGATCGACAACGGAGGTCAATTATGCAAAATCCCACCTGCAAAAATGCACGAGTTCCAGGACCAGTGACTACAAGTAGGCCGCCGCTGTGAAGAGGAGGGTTTAAGACGAGCCTCGAGACCAGCAAACCCTGATTTGTGGACCTGAAGGGTGCGCTGCGAAAAAATCACCTAGTCATGAGCACCTCCAGCAACCAGAGTAAAACCCTAATTCCCTCACTCTTCACCTCTTATTTCTTTGCTATTTCTCCGCTGCTTCCTCCATAATCAGCACGTGAATCATGTTTAATAAAAACACGACGGAATTGTTGGGTATCTGTTTTTATTATTTGTTTGAAATTTTTCAGTCTTATTCCAGAGTAGATTGCTACTCCTAAAATATTAGCTAATTTTTGTTAGAAAGATGATTCATCTTTGAAAATTTTAGATGGCATTTTCATCGGAGATACGACTTAAAAAAGTAAACTATAAATTAATGTGTTTAAACTAAATTGTACGTGCTAACTTAACTACTTCATCTTTGTTAAGTAAAATGGATTGCTACAACAATAAAAATGTGTGTGTTGCCGTTTATATAAAAGGTTTGATGATTCATACATCGTCCAGTTATGTAATGATAAACTGATCAAGAATGGACTTTGATAGTTTTAATTTAAAAAAAACGTGGATACATTTTGATTAGGACATTTTTTATAATATATTATTACAATAAATACAAGTTGTCAAAAATGAATAAATAAACAAATAAACAAATTTAAAGATAGAGTGTCTAAAATAACATTGTGACATTATTAGATGAACAAAAATAATTATATATATATATATATATATATATATATATAATTAGAAGAATTAGTATTAAAAACACAGTACTTAACATTTTTTTCTTAAATATATTTGTAAACAATAAGATTAATAATAATAATAATAAATTGTACACATTTGATATTATTAAAAATCTTAACAGTTATACTAAAAATTACTTGTAGATTCAAAATGTTTATCAATTGACAAAACATAATATAATTAAAATACTAATGAAGTACATTCAATTTAGCATCTACTAAATATATGATTTATTTTAATTATATATTTACACAATATATTAAGATATCATTATTATTAAGAATATACACATTTAATGTAAAAATCTGGACTAAATGGTAGTAAAAGTTTGATAATATTGCTACCATGTTTTAGCACTTTTTATATGTTAGCAATCCCAAACATGTCATTAATGTATCGTAATCATAATCACCATTATTTTTTATTTCTTATTTTTAACAAATATAAAATATGCTAACTGGATAGTTTCTAGTATAATATTCATTGATCTAGAAAATGTCGTTTTAAAAGCATGTCCTTTGCTTGTAAAGAGTCTAGTTGACAATTGTTTGAATTTTCTTAAAATCAAAAAAGCTCCATATTTTAAAGAAAATATATTATAAAATGGGTCCAAATGTGTTATAAATGTACATCATACTAGAGTGAGTTTCTTACAAAATATTTATGATTGTTTAGAAGATAATCAAAGTTCAATTAAATAAGACTTTGAAATATTGCTAGTGTTACAATAGCATTTGTGAATTGGTGAGTGGAGCAATATATTTTTTATCCACATTGCATCACAATTTATTCTAAGATGCCACATCTAATAATGAAAGTTGTTTTAGACCAATTGTGTGATCATTCATAAGTAGAATGATATTCTACTTATAACAATTATCATAATAAATAACATGATAATTAGAATATCATTTTAAAATATAAAATAATTTTTGATCAAACAAAGAATAGTGTCAATTCATGATATAAATTTTTAACTAATTAAACAAATACTTTATTAGTGAAACACAAAATTTTACAAATATTTAATAATTCAAAATCACTAGTAAAAATAGAAATGTAAAAAAAACTTAATTTAAATATTAATAATTACATGTTCATAATTTGAATATAATATCTCTCTCTCTATATATAATTATTTAAAAAATATATTAATCTAACTCAAATATTTGAGTCTATTAGAATATAATATAGACAATTTATAAAAAAAGAAGTACATAGTTTTTATGATTCATTCAACCCATTCTACCATTCAATTGTAGATTTTCACATCACATTACATACATTGTATCTCAAAAGATAAGCTTTTAACTTAAAAAAGCAATAGAGTTAAGAAAAAGAGAACATCAGTAATAAACTTGCAAAAAGAAATCCTAAGTACGTGTGATAGTTTTGCCAGAGACGTTGAGAAAAAAAGATTAAGAAACACAAGATGAGAAATAATGAATTTGTTTGTGTGGAATATATATTTGAGCAAAACCCGGAAGTACAACGGTTGCAGCTGATTATTAAAAAACGAGGCCTGCGCGATTAAGCTCGGTTTGCGAAACCCTAGAATCGCTTCGTATTCTTCTTCCTCTCGCAATTTGCCGTTTTCTTCTCGGTTTTGTTTTGTTTTTTTTCGTATTGTATTGTTTTCCCCCGTTCGCGATGGCGATCCTGCGTGTGTAGTCTCCGCCTTCTGCGAGCGAGCAGTGCTGGTTCTATCGGGACGCTGCTGCTGCTGCTGCTGTTATTCATTCGTTTATTTATTTTTCCAGCCGTGGAGGCCTTCAACGACTCACCGTCACCATGTTTTGCTCCAGTACGTGATCAAGACTTTTCTTCTGGATGTGTTTGCTTCGCGAGTTTTGTGATAGTGGTAGGGGGTAGGGGGGAATTTAGAACGGTCACATTTCAGACCCTCTCGCAATCGGTGTGTTGGATAATGCTTCGTGAGGACTGCGCCGAGATAGGTTGCCAAGTTGGACAGCCTCAGCGACCAGATTGGCTCTGATTGTTTGGACCCCGGAAAGTGTGTCTTGCCAATAGTAGGTATATAGTGCAGCTAATTCTATTTTTTTGTGGTTGCAGTATCAGGTGTGACACCTGAAGACCCTGTGGTGTCGCGCAAATCTGGCTTGCTGTTCGAGCGGAGGTTGATCTTTAAGCACCTAGCGGTAATGTTTCCGCGACATCGAGCATGTTCTTTGTTTGTTTTCTCGTATTACCTGCACGAAATAATCGAGGAGGTTACCACTGGTGATTAGCTGACGTGATGCCCTGGTCTTCGCAGGATAATGGAACAGACCCTGTAACAGGAGAGGCAATGTCTGTGGATGACCTCATCTCAATCAAAACAAACAAGGTCTCCGCATATGGCGTTCTGAAACTTTTTTAATTCTTCATTATTGTATGTTGAAATGTATTCAGCAACAATAGCCTCATTATCAGTGATTTTTAACGTTGAATGCTGAGAAAACAGTCCTACGTGATTGATTGCAGGCTGTGAAGCCAAGGCCTTTGCAAGCTGCAAGCATACCGGGAATGCTTGGACTCTTTCAAAATGTAAGTCAAATTAGGGTTTTTCTAGCTTGAAAGATATGAACTTGTGTTTCGGAAAGTCACTGAATTGTTTTTGATGGAGTTCTCGCAAATGAAGTTCACGTGTCTAAATCCAATTCGCTCCGTCCCAGTCGAGACTGTGGATGAATTTATTTTGTATGGATTTTATACATAAGCAGCTCAAATTTACATTGTCTACTTCACAAATTCAATGCTATTGGTTAATATTGAGCCTTATACATGTGTGCGTGTACGAGACAGGAGTGGGATGCAGTTGTTTTGTCCAACTATGCACTGGAGCAGCAGCTACATACTGCTCGCCAAGAATTGAGCCACGCACTCTATCAGGTTTGCATATTCTCGTACAATACTTTCTGGCAGTTGAAAATGAGCTCTCGTTGAACGATAGGTGAATGCTTAAGTATTTGGTCAACGCTTGGAATTGTACGAAATTCTACGACTGCTGATCATTACAGCTTGAAGCAGTGCTTGTGCATTTTATTTGTAATCATGTACCTGAGGTGTCTTAGTAGGCTTCAGTTAAGGACTGAAGCTGGATGTTATCTTTCATTGGATGAAATAGCACGATGCCGCTTGCCGAGTAATTGCTCGTTTGAAGAAAGAGAGAGACGAGGCCAGAGAGCTTCTTTTGAAGGCGGAGAGACAAGCACCAACTGCTGGACCGGCCCCTGCGGCTGCTCCAACTGTTACTAGCAACGGAAAAAGAGGTACGTAAAATTTTATGATGATCGGAGTTCTCATGTGAACCGGGTGTTTATTCAAGACAGTGCGTATAAGAATCATGGTTATGGTGGTGAGTCTGTTTTTTGTTTTTCTTCCCATAATTTACATTGTGATATACGTTACGTATATATGTGACTCTTAATTTGTCTTTCCTGAAAGATCATTATTACGTCGGTTTACTTCGATATTTTAAGTTTTAGTTGAACTTTCTCTTGATTCTATACTTTCGTAAGACAAGCAACTACTTTGTTTCAATAGGATTAGGGCTTCTTGAAGTATTTTTTTGGTTTACTTACTCTGAAGAAGGAGCGAAACAATCAACATATTGCATTTAGTTTTCTAAGTTTTCAATCGAAAATACAGCTCCTGAAGCAGACACACAATCTGAAGGCCCTGGAAAGAAACCAAGGCAGGGCATTTCATCCGACATAATCAAAGAGCTGACTGATTGTAATGCCCGTCTTTCTGGACAACGTAAAAAGCGACAGGTTTGTTCTCATCGTCCTCTAAGTTGGGTTTTCATTTTGGTCTGATCCATTCTTAATTTTTAGGTGGTGTGTACATATGACGAGGTTATGTCTGGAGAGATTTTGTATCTTATGGCTACTTCTAGTTGAGAGTATCTTTTACCGCTGGGAGTATCCATGTTGGATAAGATGTGCAGATGTGTTTTGGCTCAATGTCTTACCACAGTTTATTGTTCAAGTTGTAAGTAACAGGAAAATCGCTTTTGCAGGTTTCACCAACATTGGCCACTCCTGATGCTCTGGAAAAGTACACCCAGTTGACCAGTCATCCCTTGCACTCGAGCTCGAAACCAGGCATTCTGTCTATTGATGTTCATCAATCTAAAGTAATTGTTTTACTTCCATCTCACAGTTTACTATATTCCGTAGTTTAATTTGTTAATATCCGTATGATTGTCAGGAATTGAATTGAGCATGGGATTTGCGTTAATGAACTGAATGCGGTATGTTTGTCTTAATGTTTCTCGCTCGGATGTGAATCTCACGATTTTATTTCTTTCCGGTTTTAGGATCTTGTGTTATCTGGAGGTGTTGACGGTACAGCTGTAGTGTTTAACCGAAGTTCTGGAGAACTCGTCTCTACTCTATCTGGTCACAGCAAACGTGTAAGACTCAAGTTGGTTATTGGTTGCTTTTTGCGTGTTTGATCTGTGAACTTGCATTTAGAAGGTGCACTCCATGTAGATTGCCTTCACGTCAACATGTTTAACGCCTTGCCATGATGTCCCCCTAAGCGTATCGTTTGATGTATACATCAGTGTGTTAATCCAGTTTCGAAGGTCTTCTTATTTATTGTTGGATGGTGAATGAACATTTACAATCAGACGCTGCAATTCCACCTAATAGAAACTGTATTTAATGTCTTTGTGTTGCGAGTGTTGAAGGTAGGGGAATTCTATAGAAAGAATTGATCTTTTCTTCTTGAACTATTTGCAGGTTACTAGCGTGAAGTTCGTTGCAAAAGACGAATGTGCTCTTACTGGCTCTGTTGATAAGGTACGTTGGATCAATTTGATTTTGAATTTTTGAATTCTTTTCCTTTTTCCTTCTAACATATGCGCATTGCGTAGCCTCATCCAGTTTTGGTCAATTCCGTTGTAGATATGGAGTGGCAACATTATATTCGGAGGTATGAACTCATTATCTTTTGTATTGGGATATTGCAGACGGTCAAAATTTGGCAAGGACAAGAGGATGGGAGTTATACTTGTAAACACACGCTGAAAGACCACTCTGCAGAGGTACTTTCATCCACTTAAAAATGCACATAACGACATTTTCCTTGAAACATCTGTTGCTTGGTGTGTATTTTTATTTGTAGAATGCCCCAGGCTTGCAGTGTAGCATCTATTGATAATGGCAGTTTCAGAAGGTTAATGGTTGACTCTGAGTTGATTATTTAGGGTTTTTTTGTAAATATTTGCAGGTACGAGCAGTGACTGTGCATGCCACTCAGAATTACTTTGTCACAGCCTCTGCTGATAAGACCTGGAACTTTTATGATCTCTCCACTGGACTTTGTCTTGCACAGGTATGAGCCATCCTTGTGAAAGGTCCTCTTTTTCATTTTGCTTACTGTCAACATCTATTGCTCTTTTTCCTCTAACATATAAAGGAGCAGCGATGTTTTTTCATTTTATTTTTTATTTTTTTTTAATAATTGCGAGATTGAGGCTGGTGAGGCTGTTTGTGGTTTGAAAGTGGCCTATGACATATGCTAGGCCTTGTTTGTTTTCCCCCCTGTGTTATTTCTCGATCGGCTAAATGATGCACAATGGTATCGAATGTGTTCATTCTTAATGTTGTATGTCTTGAACTTTCGTACGTGAGCAGGTTAATGATCCAAGTGTGCAAGATGGGTACACATCAGCATCTTTTCATCCTGATGGCCTTATCCTCGGGACTGGAACTACTGAATCACTGGTTCGCATTTGGGATGTGAAATCTCAGGTCTGTATATACTCCCTTTCCGGTTTTTTTGCTATTAGTACACAATTACTATTTGACATTGATGTTCAATTTCCACTGAAGATATTCATATCTGATCACTTGTGCCGTGGGATTAACGCCAACTTGAAATTCAGGCAAATGTTGCCAAGTTTGAAGGGCACACAGGACCCGTGACGGATATATCTTTCTCTGAGAACGGTTACTTTTTGGCTGTAAGTTTGGCTATCCTAGCTCTATCGTCTTATAACGTATCAAAATTCCTTCTCTTTTTTTTTTTCTTTTTTTTTTCTTTTTTTTTCTTTTTTTTTCTTTTTTTTTCCTTTCTGAAAGAGAAAAATTACTGTTGCTCCATGTTGGCTGAGACGAACCCCCCCGACCTGTATATTTAATGTGACAATCCTGAAAGTCTATCAGCCCATTCGAAGCCAAGGGTAGCTTGGTATTATCGTTGAAGTTAGCCTTGTATATGCCTTGGTTTTGCAACCTTAGTCTACTTGCTGATGTGGATTTTTTTCCAGACTGCTGCACAAGATGGAGTTAAGCTGTGGGATCTGCGCAAGTTGAAGAACTTCCGTTCCTTTGCACCTTACGACAGTAACACACTAACAAATACAGGTCTGCCAGGCTTTTTTCTTATAAATGAATAAATCATATTGGCTACTTTCCTTTTGTGTGAATCTTTTGCATCAATATTGTGCATTTGCTTGTGACTCTTTGTGTTGATATTGGTGCTGGTAACTACTTTTAGCATGTAGAATCGATTTCTAGTTCGTGACCGGTGTTTAAGATGTAATTTAAAAAAATAGTATTGAATGAGGTTTTATTGTAACATGAGTTTGCTTGAGTGCAGTTGAATTTGATTACAGTGGAAGCTACCTAGCTGTTGGCGGTTCAGACATAAGGTACATTCAAACTCGGAATATACTTGCACTCTTCTGCAGGTTTTCCAGCACTAACGAATAGAATATTTTACGGGTATGCCTTGTCGACTTCCTCCTTACTTAGTTTACTGATCGGCTCTCCAAGTACTTGCTGCAACTCTCTATTGTGGTATGTCATGCAGGTTGTATCAAGTAGCAAGTGTCAAGCAGGAGTGGAATACCATTAAAGTTTTCCCTGATCTTTCTGGGACAGGTGATGACTCTTCTTGTTTTGATGCTTATTGTGACCAACTTGATTTACTGTTTAGAGACCATGGGATGACTTTAGTTCAGATTTGTAATTTCTTGCAGCGTGTTTTAGTCGAAGAAATTTTTAGGGTTCTATTTGACGATAATACTAGTTCATTTAATCAGTTATCAGAATGTTCAGTCAGTTCTAGGTGCAGCTTACAACTCAGGTTCTTGCATTTCAACTCACCCGAATCACCGAGTTGACTTCTCTTTCTGCTTCTGCATGACAGGCAAAGTGACGTCAGTCCGATTTGGTCCAGATGCGTCGTATTTGGCAGTTGGCAGCAGCGACCGTAACCTGCGTATTTTTGGTGCTCCTACGGCTACTTCTGAATCTTAATACCCTGAGCTGGTTTGAAGAGTAAATTGAGCGGTGGTCCGACTTTCAGTCCTTGTGAGCCCCGTGGTTTGGGCCTTCTCGCAGTCTCTGAATGGGTTAGATTACATTGTGCCTTGGCTCAGCGAAGACGTTACATCTGAAGAGGTTGGGAAAGTTAATCAATTGCGACCATATCTAGCTATGTCTTGGTAGGGCCGTCATTTAAGTGAAATTGCGTTGTGTGTCACTAGCTTGCTATAATTTAAGCAGTATGGAAGCTAGCAGATGCTCAGGCTATCTCTTGTTGTGGTGCAAGTTGCACCAAGTCTCAGATTTTCCTCAGCTTGTCTTTGGCAGCTAATTAAACCTCTGTCTTTTTCGTACATTGAAGTTCCTTCAAACATGTCGCATTAGTTTTGCGCAATCGACGGCATGTTGCGCTCCGTTTCGATTTTTTTTTTTTTTTTTTTTTTTTTTTTTTTTTTTTTTTCTTTCGATCCTTCATTTCTACCCTTCTGCTTTTAGAACGTTTGTCAGTTTAGATCCAGCCCTAGATGAATCCACTCTTAGTTGACAGAGTTATCGTTAATCACTGACATTCGTAGTACTCAGCACGCCTAACGGGAAATTATGTGGTTGTTCCTTAAGTTGCACACTATCTGTGGACGAAATCCTGGCCTCACTTCACACATCTGAAGGAGCCTCTGGGGACCATCACACGATGTTGATGATTTCTTTACGGTTTTTATTTTTTTTATCTTTATTTTATTATTATTTATGGAAGCATTGACATTTATATGCCCTTTGACAGGTACTCAAATGCCCTTTGTTTTGCTGCCCCTTTATGTGCAAAGCATTGCCTGTAGCTATTAAAATTATCTGAAAGCTCGTACTCCTTAACCGCCAAGTAAACCATTTCATCAACTAGTTTATTTCATGAAACTCGCCATAATCTATCAATTAGCGAGGCCCTTCCATGACAAATGGGTATAGGTTTTTAATCATATGACACACTGGATCAATGTCACTTATTACCAAAACCTCTGTTATTCGATTATTTAGTTATTTATTAGATCCTTCAAAAAGAATGTCTAAAACTTGAGACAACTATCACGAGAAAAGAATTCAGTGTCACCCAAGAGAGGAATGTTAAACACGGGTAGGACTGCAGGCAGACTGCCCTAGAGAAACTCCCACTGTATTCAAGCATGAACCGACTTGTAGGTTTTAACTCCAAAGTAAACAATTGGAGAAATTAAGAGGCGGTTACGTTTTTTTCGTAATTCACTACTCTTGCACGTGGAATAGAAGAAGAAAACCGAAAGCTGTTCGTGGGTATGACAAAAGGTGCTCAACCAACAGGTTGACACTTATTCGATTGTACAGCTACAAGATTAGGATTTATGAAGTTTTTAATCATTATTTATTTACTATAGATTTATGTGCCAAGCTTGTCATTTGAGTGAAGAGATTCGGTCTGGAAGACAAATGCCACCAAATCATCCATTTATGATCTTTCTGAAAATGATTTTCCAGTGTAATAAACTTCAAAATATTATTTTAACAATTAAACAATGTAAACAATACTCTTAAAATTTTCCATTTATACATATTGTAGATTTTAATAAACATATTATTGGATTAATTCACAATTAAAGTTTTTATTCATTTGATTGCTAAAATACAGATATCTTTTTTTAGTTTTTTGTTTAAATATATATATTATTGTATATATTATATATTATTATATTTATAACCTTTGAAATTTCAAAAAGTGAATAAAAAGGAAATGAACATAGTATCTTCTAATGAGACAAATTTGTAGTTATTTATTTATTTATTTATTTATTTATTTATTTAAATAAATTAGTAGAAAAAAATTATAGACAATAATAATAAAGTCATAATACTTTGAATATTTGTATCCCAACAACTCTTTAGAATTTTTTTTTTTTTTTTTTTTTTGCATATATATATATATATATATATATACATTCAAAGGTCCAAAAGTACATAAAGTGGACTTGTACAATATATATACATGGTTATAAGCGTCAATTTAACAATTTTCTAAAAAAAAATAGTATATTACAAGAATAGAATTTAATAATGCAATTGGATGTAAGCTCACGACCCAATCTACAAGTATATGGTAAAACTCAAGTTCCATAACTAATATATATATATATATATATATATCTTTGTCTTTGTCTTTTCACAATATATAAATGTGTGTTTTTCTTTCATATATGTTGCCTTTCTCATTGTATTATTTTGTATCAAAATAATTCTTGTGTACAATTGTACGTATTTCCACTAATATACATATATTATTAGTGTATGATCAATAAATAAATGTTTACTTGTATAAATACACTAACAACATGCCTTGCAATTTAATTTCAATTGATTTGGACACATAATTTTGTTAAGATATAACTAATATGGTAGGCCATGTTCACTATACAGTATTGCCACCAACTAGTAGTGGCTACACTAGCTCACAATTTGATTTTAACATAACTTTATCTTTAATTTGGATTAATCTACATATGCAACTGAACTTTAGCGTGTAATAATTTGGTAGTGTAACCAAGGTAACTCTGCATATCATTTGAGATGCTTTTGTCATATAATTTCTTTCTTATTACATATTCATTTTAATTCAAATATAAAAAACAAAAAACCAAAAAACAGAAAAATCAGTTAAGCAATTAATCAGTCATGTTTTAATGATAATAATAGTCATTATTAATTGACAAACTTGTACAAACCTTCCAAATTCCGGCATAGTAGCCACAATACTGATTGGAACACATGAAATGGTTGCTACAATGATAATAAACATACATATCATAAAATACCAAGTACCAATTATTATTTTAATTAGCTAACAAGATATTAGACACCAATGTTGGTGGATTCTGGACTACAATAAGTTTCACATGTTAGAGTCATTTGAAGATAATTAAGGTAGTCAACCCATTCTTTACCATCCCCCATTTTCGATCTATAAGGTGGTGTATTTCCAATCAACTTGACATAATAATATTGATCAGTTTTGACACCTATTGGTTTCACATTATTTAATTCACATTTTGCCTCAATTCCATGGTGCCACTAAGTAAGAAATTAAGAATTTTATGCCAACTTAGTCTTAATTTAGCATTGGTCATAATTAGATTGGCCTATATGACAGATTTAGGTCAAAGAATCTTCAGCTAAAACATTAATATGAATTCCGTTTTAGGGCAAAATTGTGTGAAAACACCTGGAATCCCCATGATGAGGATATTTTTTATTTTTCCATACACTTACGGAAAATATGCTAAAATTCTTACGTTATCAGAAATAGGTCAACTACCTTAAATAGCAAGTCAGAGTGGACGATTCTGTTACGGAATCTGACATCCAAGCCTCCAGTGATTGAGAACGTGAAGCATAGCCTCGGGTTCGGCATCCAAACCTGGGGCCAGGCCAGATATCGACACCCGGCCATCTCCCTTGTCTGCTCAGCCGAACCTGGCAACGGCCCAAAGCAACTCCGAGCCGGATCCTGCCAGCCTTGGTGTTAGCCTCGACACGAGGACATTTTACACCCGAGTCTGTCTCCTTACCACAACCCACGGGTAAAATATTACTGCCACGTTGGAGGCGAGGGGGGTGTCATGGACTTCCTGACCTAAGGTCTTGTAGAAGCTTCTACGGGTGAGCCAAAACTGAGGGAATCTTCTACGGTGGAGAGCCACTAGTCATTTTAAGACTCGTGGCATATGCTCCTTATCCTCCAGTTCCAGTACTAAAGTCATAGCTACTGAGTGATGGGATTTTGTTTACAAGTAGAAGCCCTTGTGAAGCATGTTGAGACAGACTTCCAGGTGTGGGCTCTGTGATAGTTAGAACAACTCACTAGCATGCAAATGGAAAGAGTGGTAGGTGACGTCATCCTGTGGGTTAAGACAACAATTGGGAAGGTGGGAAGGAAGGCAGTGATGGAAAAAAGGGGGCAGCACTTGGGGTAGTATAAGGGCAGAGTATAGGGGACTTTTTGGGCACTGCCCGTAGGAGAATGGTCTGAACAAGTTTCTGGCTTTAAAGTTTTTGTCATACCCACAAGCTTCTGAATTGTGCAAAGAGCAACAATTGACCTTTGATGGGGATCACTTTCTCTGACAGTCCTTTTCTCTCTTATTTTTTTCTATTTTTAAAATTTTACTAAATTTATATATTGTGCTTTTTCTATAGTATAAAATTAACGATGCAAACATTGTTGTCCACACCCCCCCTCCCTCCCCCAAAAGTAATTAAGTTAACTGGTAAGGAATTGTGTACATACCAATTCAAAAGAATAAATAAGTAGAGAAAGAAAGAAAGAAAGAAGATGAACACCATTGTTGAAGAATTCAAAGACTTCAGAACACCGAGAACGACAAAAAAAACATCCATCATGCATTTGATGTTCTTTCATGAATAATTGAGTTTTCTATTAATTTGATGCCATTCAACAGCGCCCATTTTGATTCAAAATACAAAAGACCTTTCCTTTTTTGTGTGTAAGGCCTCAATTATGATGGCACAAAGGGTGTTGTTCCATGTGGTTGTGGTGATTGTTTTTGTTTTTTTTTTCTTTTTCTTTTCTGGAGAGTACTCCACTCTTCATTTACTTCCTCCGCTCATCATAACATCCACTTAAACTAATCCATCCATCCATCCACCCTCATTCATTCATACATGCAAGGCAGCTGGTTATATGCATTGGAGTGTACCTCCTTTAGATGGTGGTTAAAAGCATGAGCCAGGATTATGGCGACATTCTCTTGCCAACTGTGTTCCAGTTCAGCATTAGCATGGCTATTGTGGTACACAGCAAATATATGAACCCAGCCCCATTGCCTGGGATTTACTGATCCACACGTTACGACTACTGCTTAGAAAGTAAAACAAATCTTAGAAAGATTCCACCCTGACCGAATGATAACGATCCGAATATTTTCCGTTCCCACATCGTTCCCAAATGGTTCCCATCACTCTCTCTGTCTCTCTCTCCGTTACTCGCACTATGAAGAAAGACTGAACACTTCGGTGTCGCGAGAGTTTGTTTTGAAGCATAAATCCAAGCAAGTTTGACTGAGAGAGGCGAAGAGTTTCGGACCAACAGAAAGGGGGGGGGGATGCTCATCAATGCCATGAGAGGGCTGTGTGGATCCAAGGGCTTCAAGGCAGTGGGGGCCTGTGCGACTTCCCCCGCGGAAATTCGTCGTCTCTGTGAGAGTCAAGATCCCAATCTACAAAGCATGAACCACATGGGACCCCACGATGTCTGTCTGATCCGTTTGTCTGGCCATGAGCTTCGGGATCCGTTGCTGCGCCTGCCTGCCTGCCTGCCTGCCTGCCTGCCTGCCTGCCTGCCTGCCTGCCTGCCTGACTATCCACCGATTTTCACGTTATTCAGAATTCTCGTAATTTCGTTGTCTCTGCAATGATTTTCCTCGGCAAGGAAGGAGTACCATCCCGGTGTCCAGGGGATGCATCAGCAATCCAGGGCAGCATGAGTGCGAGAGACTGCCATGGTCTGATTCATGCCTTGCCGAGTCAGGAGAAGCAGAGGCGTCAGCCGACGGGTGGATTCAGATCTGTTGCCTCAGGATTGCGTGGGAAACTACAGCTGCAGACTCGACAGCGAGGGTTGCATGATAACCCATGCATGGTAAGGCAAAATTTACTGCTCACACTCAACAGTAATTTGCTTCCCCGAGCAGGCGCCTCTGATGGCCACAAAATGAAACTGCATTGCCTTCGCGGAATTGGGTTTTCTTACGACGATGAATCCGATATCTCTGTTTCGTCCATGGATCCTACGTATATTGTACCCGAATGGTCGTTCCAGATACGCGATGGAATACGCCGAGTGTTTTTGATCCGCATCTCTGTAGGGGGTTTGGGTAGCAATGCCTGAAATAAACCGAATTGTTTTTCTTCTGTTCGTGCGAACTACAACGAAACTGGAGGCAATAATCTTATAGACAAATCTCGACGGATTCAACATGCACAAATGCTGGAGGCATGGCGATTTTTCATTTCTGAACTTCACCACTTGCAGATGGTCAGCCCAAGCAATCCAAATCGTAATGAAGATTGTATTGTTGTAGTCTTTCTTTTCAGGAAGAAAAGTAGATCCTTTGTTCATATAAATATAATTCAAATAATAATAATAATAAAAACATGTTATGACACTTTTACCTTTGCTGAAGCCTGATGCCTGCCGTGATCAAAATTGCGGGCGGTGCTGCAGAGTGACGCAGCTCGAATCCGACACAGGGCGAAGCGGCTGATCTCAGCCTACGACTACGGCCCGTGGTTCTTTCGATTCTTCTGTTTCCGCAGGTCTAGAGCCATCGCGAGCTTCTCTTCTCGCAATGCTTCCTGAGATACCCTATCGTAGACGGTCCGCCACTTGTTACCTCCGCAGTGGAGTGGTGTAGCACCGCACTGTGGACGCCCGGCTTTTCCGAGTGCTGTCTGGAGCCTCGAGTGGGTGCGCAGCTTCGAGGACAAACAACCTTCGTGTAGCCGGTTAAGTAGTTTGTGGCTGAGGCAATGAATCTCTTCTGTAGCCTCCAGTTTTGTCTCACATCGGTCTTCGACTTTGCCTGCCCCTCACTCGGTGGTTCTGCATGCTTCAAACTCTGCGTTGCAGCGTTGTACGTTCTTTGATAAATTGGCTTATCGACGAGAGGACTGGTTTTACAGAGAGTGTATCCTGACGGTGACATTGCTTAAGTTGGCGCAGATTTTCACTGTAGTTTGCAGTTTGGGACTTGGGGGTGGCTCCGTCCTGTGGATAGTTTGGTACTTTGAGATGGAGTGTTCAATACGGCTGAGAATGTTGGTGGAGAAGCAGAAGACGATTACTATAGAGTTGGTGTGAAAATGGGATAAGAGCCTTGAGAAACGTCGAGCTTAGAAGCATTCCTGTCCTTCGAAAGCTGAGAAAACAATGGTGATAGATTGGTTCATGTCAAGGAGGTGTGAAGAGGACTTTCAGAGAGAGAGAGGCAGGAGTTGTTTTCCCTTTGTGGCGTAGCCGTAGCTGTGTGTTTCGGTCTGTTTATTAGTCCCGCGTTTTCAGATAAGACATTCTCAGCACCAGAGGCGTTGAATTGATTCCGTGTTGAAACAAAAGGGTGAGGGAGTGTAAAGATAGTCGTATCACATTTTCATCTTCGCGTTCCGAATCGTTCACCGGAATGGCGAGGAGAAGAGTGTTGGCCATGGGGCCAGCGATGGCGCGGATGATGTGCATGCAAAATCCCTACCAACAGATCAAGAACGACGAGGCGAAGTCGAAGAAGTGGTCATGGATTTGGAGACGCAAGAAATCCTTGAAACTTGGCCGTGGCGAGAAGAAGCCGAGAAGGAGAGTGGGCCTTCGAGTGGGCCGACTCCGCATCCGGCTGCTGTCGCCCTTGGTTCTGTTGAAGAAATTGTGCGATTCTTACGTCAAGATGATGTTCGCTCTCGAAGGTAAAATGGGTGGTGCGGGGTTTCATAGCGCTAATGGCCCCTCTTTCCCCGTGTACCCTATGCACATGCCTGGCAAGATGGGGGTTACATATAATTATCCTCAGAAGGTGAGATGAAATAGATGTCGGCTGTAGCTAAATTTTCCGCAGACGCTTTACAACAGTCTTCAAAGTACGTGGTTCGACGTTCGATAACACAGGGGGAGCGGGTTCGCTTCTGACAATGACCGAGTCTACGGCAGTAGATTTTTTTTATTTTCATATTTTGGGTTTGATTTTTATTTTGATTTTTGTATATGAAGTCAGAATTTGAAGGATTCTCCGTTTGGGGCTGCGGTGGTACATAGACTGTAGAACTTTCGGACGTGCCGGTCTTTTAGAATACTAGATGCTGTGGTAATTTCTGCTTGTATGTGTCCATTCTTCAGAAATCATTTCAGATTATGGTGGGACTTTTTCCCCTGTGACAATATCAATGTGAAATTGATAACTTGGTGCTTGGTTGGCGATTCTGGATCTTGCTGATTGTATGTTTCGACTTATAATTCATGCCTTTTGTTGTGTATTAAACTCGGCTTTCTTAAGTGCACAGTTGAGGCTCTTAGAGCTTAGAAATCTTGGTTGTGCCCTGTGATATTATAGCTTTGATGAATCTTTAATAGCTTGGATAGCATTGTCGCTACAGTCGATGTTTATTGTTGGCTTTTGGTTGCGTTCAAAATTTCAGAAACTCCACACAAGTTATGGATTGTGGGTGCAAAAAATGGTTCCCATTTAAAGATTCTATGATATATTTCACATTCTAAACGAAGTGGCACCTACACTGTACCACGAGCATTAGACAGTGTTCAACTCGTTCTCTTTTGCTGGAATGAGTGCAAGTGGTAGACACTTAAGTTTGCCGTGCACACAGTGTATATCTTGCTTTTTGCATAGAACGATCATCGTGTGTGTACATCTTGATGTCTAGTACTGTAACCTGCTGAATGATGGTGTTAGAATCATCACCAGCTGTAGTATAATACAAATGAACCCCAAAACATGAATCACCAAGTATACATACTGCTACTTGGTTACTAAAATTCAGCTTCTCAGACAGCCCCTTGGCATCAACAAGACCCATTTGGAACATTACACTCCATTTTCTCCAAGCAGTAAAAACTCAACCCCTAAAACAATGACGCAATCAGGAAATTCAAACAAGACTCTTAGTCGCCAGTGGAGCACCCTCACACGTAATTGTGGATTCAAATACTCAAGTACATGATGCAATATTCTCGTGCCAGAGCGAATACAAAAAAGAATCGTTGCCATGAGCTTGAATTTACTGAGGCTCACCTACAAGCAAGCACGTTAATTCATTACACGTAGAGACCCATTACCAACAGCTTTGGAGTGGGTTTGTAAGAGAGCGAAACGACAGGCATGTCCCACAACAGCCATGTTTACTTGCTAGGAGAAATGTCACAACCTAATTGCAGCTCTCATGTACCATTGTACCAATTTCATCTAGTAATACGGCAGTCAGCAATTGCAAGTTAGCATCATCATTTGAATTTGAAGAGGGAAAATAAATATCACAAGGGAACCCATCTCACTTTCGTAACATTTTATACGAGGGAGAAGCTAACATCATAAGTGCACTTGTTCTAAAACTACACTATTTTGTATTGGCAGTTTGGCAGTACTGTTAATAACCATATTTCACATCAAGGGCTCCCTTCATGTTTCTGTTTCGGTGCATTTATTCGCAAAAAAATGTGCAATGCAACATCGACGGAGTTCACAAGGTGATTCATGACCTAATCCTGAACTACGTCCGCTGTACAATATCAAAAACCTGTCTCTCACATAAAATTTTGCAATTAAGATAGCATCTCTCAGGCGATGATTCATCTTGCTGGTGATTGCGTAACGAGCGAGATGTAAGTACAACGTACCAAGTTTCGACCTGTTAAGGTTGTCACAGAATCCGGATCTCTTCAGGGTTTTTTCAGGACGATAATCGGGATCCTTGAGGGTGCGAGGACATCGGCATAAGGAAGCCACTCAACCCGGTGGAGTGTCGTCGTTTGTGGGATCTCCCAGGTGATTTTGCAAACATCGAGGGTGATTTCCCAAACATCCCAGGAGATTTTGGGAACCTGGGTGATTTTCCACCTTCTGAATTGAGAAAATATTCGTCGTCTCGTATGATGACTTCCTGGCCTTCCAGAGCACTATGCATGGACAAGGGCACCATCTCAGGCTCCAGAAACTTATCGCGTGGCTTTTAAAAAGTCTTCCAGAGGAAAGGCACCAAACCTGAAAAGTTTTCCATGACGCTAATGTTGAGACGATTGAGGGCCTTTCAAAGATTTTATCAAAAATTACTGACAAGGATTCAAATAATCATCTACTCAGATTCATGCATTTTGCCCTGTCCATGCCAAAGAGAAAGTGTCAGGTTCCGTCACGAAAGAAACATTGACAGGACCATACATCTGATTAAGTTTGACTAAGGCGGTTGTTAGAAACGCTACAAAAACTTGTCGTGGAATCTGTACAAAAACAAGTCGTAGAATCTGTACGGCTCTCACAAGACTCACTAGAATTCTTTCTACCGTTAATCCTTCGCATCCATTACTATCAAAACTATGAACAATTCCGAAAAAAACTCAACAGAAGATAGCCCCTCAACTCAAGTTTCTTCAAATTTACAAAAATAAAGCGTACAGTGGAGGTCATAGCCTCCATAGCCCAACCATGGTGTGATTGCGAGAAGATTGCATATCTGTTCGCGTTCTTCGACGGAAAAATGAAAACCCTCTCAACCTAAGTCCGTTGCTCATACAAGTAATGCTCCCCTTCAAAGTGGACACACTCAATTGCAAGCAGTCACTCAAAAAACAACAATGTTCTGGAAACAATCGAGTAGATCCAGAACTGATCAGGCAAGGGGACGAGTGTCGAAGACAATGAAAAGCAGATCTACTACCTCAAGTAGTACACCGCCTAAGAATAGTCGGCCCGTGAGCAGGAGCTTCGAGGAGCTAATTTACACATACCTTGGGCTCCTACAAGACAATGAAGAGTTGGTGCCAGGACGCATTCTCTGAGGCAGCACCAGAATTTTCGGAGTTGCGATGACAGGAGAATTGATCGCCCACTGTACATCACATATCAACATCAAGTCATCTGAGTTCATGGTGAGGAAACATCACCTCAAACGCTGTGAACGCAGAAAAAAATTTACGTCGAAAAGGGGCTAAAATTCCGTTTCTGGCAAATAAAAAGGATTCAAAGCTTGAGTTCGTAATAGATCCAAGGCTGCTTGGCTGTTTAAAATTCATTTCGCACGGTAAACTTATCTGGTCCATGTTACACATCCTAAAACCTTCTTCCTTGGTTAACGTAAAAGAGGAATCAGACTTTCAGATATTTCACAGCTTGTCGAAGTGAATGAACTGTGAAAACAACATTTGAATCTGTGTAATTATAAAATACTCGTTCCACGGGAATCTCCATGGGGTGCCACAGTGGTTACGAAGAAGATAAAAGTAAATCTTAAAGTACTGTTGCAATGTAGGATATTATGGCATTTCTGAATTCATCTTCCATGGCTCGTGGTGTAAGGTTTTGAAGGACGATTCTCAACTGTCCAACAGATCCCCCAATTCCTAAAATTATGGATGAAATTTCTCTGACAAAATACGAACAATATGTCTAATCCCTACATATTCAAACGTACGATTTCACTAGATTATAAAGTCCAGAACGCGTGATATGGCAATCGATGGCTGGAGGATGTGCTTACTTCTCATCAAAGGAAGTTCCAAAAACTTGTTTAGTAGCATTATCGTGTGGATTCGTAGCTTAAAGACTATGCAATGAACCCACACGATAATGAAATATCCTTAAACTCGATCTGAACCAGTCCTCAACACAAATTTTACTATAGACACATTTGATAGCTAAAACTTTAATTAGTGAAAAAGTTTCTAAATATATCCTTTCAAGCCCAAGTTCCGACAACTCTACAAATGCGGACAATAACAAGTCATGTTACTGCAAAAGAAATGACTCAGCAACTGAGAAGTATTTTTATAATATTACTAAAAAAATTAACAACAAATGTCTATGTGCTATTTGATTTTCTTTTTCTATGTCTACAAATGCACTAGTCCGTGCCAGATCTGCTCTGCACAAGTGACATGGATACTGCACGATGTCAACTACGATTCAAACACTTGCATTATTCTCCTGAAATGTTTGGAGAAAATCCTGAGATGCTGACAAAACGGAGCGTCCGCTTACTGTGAGGTTGGAGGATTTTAGCCCTTGCCGGTAGCATTGCCTGGCATTATGCCGTCACGATTCTGTTGAGTTATATCTTCGACATGGCCAGGTTCAAGAGGAAGGAAGACGGTTGTGTTCTTTGAGCCGCACCAATTTCCTTCATTGGGTCGAATTATTGAGTAATCAAAACGAGATCCATGATGTCTTTAGATGTAGTTCCTGGAATACTGTTAGAAAGCTCAAGTACACTTTCACGAAGTACAGCGGTGATGGCCTGCAGCTGTCTGGAGATTCCAAGACCAAAGAGATATTTGACTTCCTCTTCTCCTTCTGCTTTTTTCACCTGTAGAATTTTTTCTGCTTCCGCTTAGTGGATTGCTGTGACCCTCATCCTTTGAACTGTCCCGGGACAAAAATGGAAGAATAAAGAAATCAGTGCTACTCCCAGTAATGACTCCTCTCTTCTGAATGACAGAATTGTAGTTAGGATAAAAACTTGAGCATTGGCTATTCTCACAATCTTTGATGGAAAAGTCGCAAAAATAAGCTTTGCAGCAATGTTCACTTCGATCCATGATGCCACAAAACACATCGAAATAAAAACGAGTTGAAGCTTCACCTCTAATGAAACTCTTTGTAGGAAGTGAGAGTTGCAATACTGCACGACCTAAGGATGTGTTGGAAAGCAAAAAGCGAGCATGCGTGAACTTAGGTGCATTAATTTCATTCATAGGTCGACGTACATTTGAATCTGGTACAACATCAACAATCAAAATTGCATATCCATAGGCCCCCAAAACAATTCATTTAGACCACTCCACGATAATTTTTGTAAATTTCTTTTCTGTCATGAGCTATTCGAATCGATATCACCAAGGCAGAATTCAGATGTTCAAAATTGGACAAGGGGTGCTTCAACCTATACATTTGTTTTCAAAGAGATACACATGCACAAATTCATGGCTAGCTTTCTCCAACTCTTTTGAAACGGTTTGTGCAATTATATTTTTCTGCTCAAAGACATTGTCCAGTAACATTCTAGGAACAAACGTTCTTACAACTGCTAAACAAAAACCAGTTAGAGAGTTCAAAATTAGAACAGACAAATCTCCATAACGTAGCTCTTATGATTTGTAGCAAAGGGTGAACCTACTAGAACCGAGCTTCTTACTCATCTTTTCAAACTTTTACATTTCCTTTACTGTTAAGTTTAAAAGCAAACTAGCCATTCCTACTAAAATAGAGTAATATATCGGCTTCGAAAATCACTGCCAATCCAGCCAACATCTCAGGGCAACTGCTAAAGAAAGTGTGAGCAACCATTTGTATTTGAGTACTTTTGAACGGTTCACAATCAATCAAGATAAGAAAATATAAATATAAGAACCACTTGCAAGTAACCTACTCATTTCAGAAAGAAGATGGAAGTTCAAATCATCCTCACAATAAATTGAGAGCTTAGCAAAGAATCCTCAAAAATGCAAAAAATTTGAGTGATATTTAGAATAACAACCATAAAAAACATAAGGCTAGATCTGGTCTTTTGGATTTTGAAGCTTGTAGAAAGCATTGTTGGCATTTTGACGAACTACATGATACTGAATTGAGCAAACTACAGACACGGAGACATTGTCCTGCAAGAAAACACCATGAAAAAGTTTTGTACTATTAATTCATGGAATATTGACTTGGAGAGATGGAACTCTATCCTTCCAAAAACATGAAAATGTGACACAAATTATCTTGAGGTGTTTTGCAATCATAATAAAATTAAGTATTAGCTTCACCAATAATCAATATGAGAGAATAATTATAAAATTATGTATATTATCTTATTGAGATATACAATAAAAAACACATCTTATACTAAAAGACTACACCTATTGATTATTAAAGGATGTAATGTTGGAACATCAATCCCTACTTCATCATCTAACAATGAATATTGTACAGATGATCCAAGATCTCACATTTGTGCCAAATACTTAAATCTTTGTGCATAGGTACTAAAGCCTACGTTCACAATCTTGCACTAAATAAGTAATCTTCTTTCTATTTTGTTCTTTCATTTATTGTTCTCTCATGGTATCAAAGCAGAAGATCTCTCCTCTCTTTCTTTAGGATTTTTTATTCTTTAAGTTCACTAACTTCCCTTGGTCATATTAATCACTGTATTTGTACCAATTTTTTTTTTTCTTCTGTTTTGATTAAAGGATCATTTATTATTATTATTATTATTATTATTTTCTCTTTAACACTTTTCAACATCTATTTTCATTTTTCTTTTTCAAGAACTCACAATCTCTTATATTCTTTCCTTACACAAACTACAAGATCATATTTTTTTCAATCCAACAATCCTTAGATAATCAATCATTACTTAATTTTCATCCTATGACGAAAAATATTGTTTTTTTTTTGTTTTTTTGTTTTTTTTTAAATTTTTTTAGTCTTCTTGAAGAATATGAGCAACCTCAAAACTATTTGCTTAAAAAAAACCATGCTTATAGGTCCAAAAAATTACAAACATTGGGCCATCACTTTTTAAAGTATTTTCAAGAAAGAAGTTCTTTGAGATATTAATAAACCATAGCCATCACCTATTGAAATATCCTCCATCAAACCTAAAGCCAAGACAATGGAAAATCCAAATTAATCAGATTTTGATATCACTTGATGACAAAAATATAGTATACAAGTCATAATTCAACTATTTTTAGTTCTAGATCTCTACTACAACATCATTGATACATCAAATCCATGCAATACTTGGCAAGCTTTGAGTACCATGCTCAATATGAACATCATATTTGATATCATGTTTGTATTAAACTACTAAGAAAATATTTGAATGGAAGATCATCAAGACATGACAACATTCATGTAATAGATAAACGATACAATTTACAACCTCAAAGCCATCAAACATGTACCATTTAATACAATTTTAGTGCATCAAATTCTCAATCAATTATTGCCTAAATTTGATAAACTAGTGTTTCAAATCTAGTCTAAGAAAGAAATTCCTAGCTTGTAGAAACTCTAAAACAAGCTCTATACGGAAGAAATCAATGCTCTCTTAGAACAATTATATGACATCTTAGAAGAAGCATTGCTGATGCATATATAAAACTTGTATAACAAGAAGTTTTATGAAAATATGTCTCATTTTAATTGCCAGTAGTGGACTCAACATCTACATTGGCACCTTTTAGAAAGACTAAGCCTTACTTGCCACCATTATTATAAGAGCAAATATACCTCAAGACATTGTTTAGCTCTTGCCTTAATATCTTTTTTTGCAAATCAATATACAAATTACTCAAGGTCCTATACTTTTCCATATAATAATCCACAATTTAGTTTATAATTAGGCACTAATGTCACTAAAGATCTTTTTAGCAAAGAAGTTCTATTCAATCTATATGAATCTGGTGATAGTAAAATTCTACAAGCTCTTGAAGCCCTTTCCATCAACAAACCAAACTCCAACTGGATTCTAGATTCAACAATATCCAAACATTTTTTTGAGCATTACTTTGCTTTTCAAGAAGTTGATCACATCCATGGATCTATGGTTACATCTATAAGTGGTTATTTCCATGTAATTGCAAACAATAGTACAATTGATCTATCTCTACCCAATCGTGAAATAAAGACATTAAAAGATGTTTGCTTCATACCTAAGCTGCA